CAAAATTTGTAAGAAATCACTCTCTTATACGATATTCTCTGTTGCTAAGTGCTGATCTAAAAAGGTCAGACATCAGGAAATCATGTAAACTGATCAATGTCCAAAAATCACACTCATCATTTGACATGTGTCACGCACGAATCACAAAGGCTCCGACGATGTGTCCTTTCACTTAAATCGCTCATGATTATCAAGATTGTCAGATTTGGTATAGATTTTTTCCGTCTGGTTTCAGATTATAAGTAGGGGTTTTTTCCTGGAGGTCTTCGGTTTGCACAGGCATGTTTGCTTGGGGTCAGTTCACCGCGAGACAGGAGCGGCAGGCGGCAAACAACAAATACCAGGGTATTTCCCGTATTCTTTTATTCTAAAACGAATTCTACGAATTTGGCGACAAAGGTTCCGCGTCCAAGCTTCGAAATAGAACCTGTAATGTTCAGAAAGCGAATGGTCAGTTTCAAACCTTAAATGCTAAAAGTCGAGGTTTGAATTTGATATTTTAAAAGCCGTAAGTGTGAAGCACTCTTTCATGAATTTCAGATTCTGCTGCCAACCGTTCCCTAAGAATAAAAGGAATTCAAGCTCACGAGAAACTTTAACAGAAAAACTTTTTCCGCTGACGCAAAGACAAACATTGTTTGCGGATTAGGTAATAATTTCTTTTTTTAAATTTTTTTTCATCGCTTCTCGTGATTAGAGGTTTTTACTTATAGTTCAGGATAAATGAGTCATGTAGTATAGGTATAAGAAACAGTATAAGCTCATTTCTGCTGATTACGGAATTTACCGCGTAAACTGCATTTCTTTAATGATATATACTACGTTTATGCGAAAATCATACTCTTTATTCGTTAAATAATCGGTTTACTCTGAACTTATCATAGATTTTAGAAACAGTGGTAAATGAAAAAGAAATTGTTCCACTAACTAACATTGGCCTCGCCTGCTGTGCTCGTTCTCGCCGGCGTCACTCTCAGTTTGTATTCGCATTGAAAACAGAAAGACCAAGAGGCTGGCCGTGACAGGCTTAAAAGAGGGAGAGACAAGGTTGTGTTCAATCGTCTTCATTAGTAATTCAAGGGACACTAGCTGCCACCATACCATCGAACTTTCCATGAGCGATATCAAAACCACCTCAGCCGCCGTTTAAGTTTTGAAAAGATGTTGTTCCCGTCTACTCAGAGGAAATCATGATCCAGTACATACTGTACAATATCTTTTATCTTTTTTATTCAATTTTGAAAACAGAGGTTCTTCTGGCCCTATTTTTTTCAAAAGGCTATGCTAAAGCATAACCTGCAAACGAAGGTCACTGCTTATCTAGTTTAATTGAAGGTTTTAGTTTCTAATTAAAGAAGGTAGACATAAGTTTCTCAAATAACGTGACCCTCAAACCCCTAACAGACATTAGGAAATCATGAAAACATAATTATTCATCAAAACGTAATTTGAATTTTAAAGAAAACATTTTCATAATTTACATCAACGGTCAAATCAGCAGAACTGTATACTCTAGGTATGATTTGGTATGATTTGTCAAGAGTGGAAGAAACAAAAACTCTCACGATCATATCAAATGTTGGCAATTAACCCTTTTTCCAATACCGTTTACTTATCTGGATCCATGACTTGCTCGATCTCGACGATCGATGTTTCTACGTTCCACTCTTAGATGTCCAAATTCTCGCTGCGCTTGACGTTCAAAGGCATTGAACATTAGATTATAACAAGACTAAGAAGACAATAGAACGTCGTATATCATGGTCTGTTTATCAGCTGTTTCTAGTCGAAAATCGGAACGGAGGATTTGGTTGTTTCTGATCAGTGAAATGTGTAACTCAACGAAGATTTCATACCAAAGAGTGAAAGGTACGATGTACATGACTTTGCACTTAATTTGCGCGTGTTTAGTTTTTCATTTATCAATATATTCTGATTTAAACACAATTTTGTTAAAAAGCGCAAAATTTGATTGAAAAAAATCAGACAAACAAACAAACAAACAATCCAACCTGCGGAACGATGCCAGTGGCGTAGTACACTGCCTTCACCAGTTCGATCGTGAAAAGTTCAATCGATATTTGGCGACCATACCGCTGACTAGGAGGAAAAATGGGAGCCTGTAAACATACATAGTATCACGTGATTTTGTGGCCAGGTGATTTGGAGGCCCATTGTGTGGGCGACTGGTCGTAAGTTGCTTGTGAAAGCGTCATTTCCTTCTCTTGCAAACTTGAGAAAACAAAGATACATAAACATGAAGAAGTAACTATTTTGGTTCGATCTGCCAAGCAATCGAACCAGAATTTGTTACTGCACGTTCCGAAGCGCCTATCAGCGTGCTAAGGTAAGAAACATCCTGTAGAGTTTAGGATGCGATGCATCGATCTCGACATCAATCGAGCTGAGTAGAACGGCTACTTCGAATGCACGACAAGTAGCTAGCCCAGCTAATACGATTTTTAGCACTTGGCTGTGTGTATTAAAAAGCATGGCAAAGTTTCCGCACAGCCCCATACTTCATTATGCATACAGTCCTTTGTTAGAAGAAAACAAGCGCAAACAATAGATTACCTTTGGGACTATTCGCTTTGTTTTCAAGAAGTTTAGTTTCAAACCTACGAAAAATCGCCGTTTTTAAATAAAAATTGCGCTTAATCGAGCGAAATATGAAATATTTTAACAACCAAATCAATCTGTCGATGAAACGATTCGTTTTGTATGTTGGTCGATCGCCGAGTGACCGGTATGAAGCACAACACTAATTGTGAATGGCGGTTCGACAAAAGCGACATGAATTCGAGATAGTTTCGATCTGGATAATAATAAGAATAAAAATACATTATCGATCATCGGCGTATGTGCCACTGCACAGCAAACGTTGCTCGAGTAGTTTATGCATGTTGTTTTCGTCCTTTCGCGGTCGAACGCGTTTAAAGTGCTCAACTGGCGTGACGATTTCGATATTTTAGTCTCTGTTGTCGCGTTGAAACATTATTTTGAATTATTGGGAGTTTCCCTCGACTCATTATAGGGCTAGCTAATCAGTATTTCACTTAACTGAAACTAAAAATGTAAATTTCTATTTATCTTGTTTTAGTGATGGCTTAGGGGTTTTAACCTATTGTCACCTCTACTTGAAAACGCTAACAGTTTAATTTTGGCCTCATTACAAAATGGAAAGCGAAAGCTGAAAGATCCCAGAAGGTTGTCCTTTGAAGATAAAACAAGTAATCCTCCGTAAAAAAAATAATTGAAAAAAAACCTTAAGATGGTTATGTACTTAAAAATCATGCCAGAACATGTTACTCATCATCTTAAATAACCGTGACACTTCCTTCAGGAAATTGCTGAAGGTGTTACATATCTACGTGTTTGAACTAGTTGGCAGAGTTGCAAGCGGAATATGCATGAAGTAAGCTTTTCGTTTTCGAATTTTACCTTTCCCAATCCGGCAAGATCTTTAAAAAAACATACGGCTCTGTTTTGATGAACAAATTAGTTCCACTGAGTTAACTTTGCATCGCTGATGTTTATAGGTTGCATCTGTCACTTAAATCGCAAGTTGCTAAGAATCAAGGAGCTTTGCTGGAAATCTGAACCGTCGCGTCCAGCTTAAAACGAACGCAGAGACTAAGAGGTAAGGAATTTGTGTTTGTCTTTTCTCTTAAGTGAGCTTCAGAATGATCAGTCACATTTGGGCAATTTCGAGGATGAAGGTATAGTTTATTGCTTCGAAGAATAGTGCAAATTGATCGAAGCGTTATGTTTATGCTCACAAGCTGTAACACAACTTTATCGTAGGGACAATGTGACGAGCAGTTGAGTCTATCAAAAACTTGCTTACCACCACCTACGGAAGCAGATTATATTTTTCATTCAAATCATTACCAATGATTTCAAATTTTTCACTGAGGTTTTCGGTCTATAGTCGAAACTTCAAGCTTTTGTTCTCTTAACAAAAGAGCTTAATTCCCTCAGTTTGATTAGTAGACTTGACGAATTAATTAATTCCTTTCTTTCACAGATGACTGCGCCCATTGAATTACAAACCGGTCCGTTGGTGGAAAAGAAGTTTGGCAAGACAAGCTCCCTAACTAACATTGCCAGCTGGCTTACACATCTTCGTAGTCAAGCTATGAGATCCTCCTTGCTCTCAAGAAGAGGTAAGTCTAAACCTGAGTAACAAACTTACTATACGGTCGTACAGCGGGTGGAAGGAGGGGGTTTCGCTTTTGTTTTTTCAAGACGAATTTAACTCAACGCCTGGAAATCAATTGTGTTTTAAAGTTTACAAGCTACACATTGACTAAACGTTTAGTGAAAATTAATTTGTACATGTAAGTTTTTGTAATACCACCAGGCGAGAAGAACCCGCGTGTGATGTGGCGCTTTGTTGAGACTTTGAAATATCACGAAATTCATCGTATACAAAATAAACCAAAAAGGAAAAGATAAAAGGCCGGTTAATTACGCGAGTTCGAACCCAAACCGCGGTTTTTACGCAAGCAGTGAGTCTCAGAGATTCTCTATTATAAGGTTAATTTGATAAAAAAGTGTCCTCCCTTTATTAGTTTTCGGCTCTTTTGACACTGTTCTCGAAGATAAATGCATGTTCAGATAAAAAGTTCAACCGGTAAACTTTGCGTAAATACTTTACATTCAAACTTGTAGGAAATAGTGGTTTCGCCCAAAAAAGAGGAGGAGAGATGGAAAAGAAGAGAGTCTAGTGTACTTGATTCCATTTCAAAACGCCAGCTTTCCCACATGCGCATATTCAAGGTCTTATCTGACGCTTTATAGTAACATAATAACATTTTTATTTCTTCTCGAAAAACCTCTTTACAGTGAAGGCTGAGACGAACGGTGTGAAAAAGAAATTACAGGCAGAGACAAAAACCAAAGCTATACAGAGAAATCAGAAAATCCAACCACATTTGGCCTGCGCTGCATCAGATACAGTCCATCGATTAACCCGTATAAGGGTTCCTTCGCAGTTCTCGGAAAATGTTGTTCGCATACTCAACGAAGCCATTGTGTACCACCAAGGTGACAACATTGTTGGTGCCCGGAGAAGTTTAAGAAATCTTTTCCAATTATTAGTAATAAATAAGGCGCAATGTTTTGACTTTCCGTCAAAATATGGATTGGAGGTCCTACATCTAGGAAGACAACTCTTTCTTGAGAAGGGCGTGAGTTGCTCGATAAAACATGGGACTTTACTTTTGGACTCAAGTACGAGTGGAGCGCAGTTTTACTCTGGATTGCTAAACGTCATGGGAGCATTTGCATTGCTGATTTCCGAATTTGAAATTGCTAGTGGGACTTTTGAACGGCTGATCGATCTCCATCACCAATCAAATACAACCAGTCGTTCTCGTGACCTTGCTGCTGCCTACAACAACAAGGGGTGTGTTCACCTGATCATGGGTGATTTGCTCGATGCACATAAAGCGTTCGAAACTTCTCTCAGGAGCCTTGGTAACTCGAACGGGTCGTCAAATATTACACAAGTTTTCGCCGTAAAGAGCAACATGAGCCGACTAAATCTGGTTTTCAGAAAGTATCCTCAAGCCCTTGAGCAACAAGAGAAATTAGTTGAGAGTTGCAAAGCTACAGAAATGAAGGATATACCGTATCCATTTGAAGCAGTATTCACGGTAATGAATAATCAAGCAGTGTTGCATACTATTCTCGGCAATTTTAAGCAAGCAGAACAAGCGTTGAGGTGGTTGATATCTTATTGCAAAGAAATGGATAGAGAGGATTCTGTGTATCTTGTCATCTTCATTCGCTTGCATCTGTCTGAAGTACTGCTCCTTCACGGAAAATCAAAAGAGGCTGATGAAGTATTCAGTATTGAGGACTTGAATTCACTCGATGACATTGTGGACAGGTTTGGAAACCTTTACATGAATGTAAGAATCGAGGCACTAGAGAAGTTATTAGAGCTCTACGTCCGAAGAGGAAAAGTCAAAGCTGCCCTTGGGCTCTTGCAAACAACTGTGAAAATCCTGAAAACCGTTTTTGGACCTGACCATTTTAACATTGCTTCCTTGTTGTACAAACAAGGTACAATTTTGAGTCTCGTGGGGGAATTCTCCACCGCCACGGAAAAGCTCAAAAGTTCCGTTGAAATCTTGAGAAAAATATTTGGCTTCAAGAATTTTCTCCTCCTGAAGTGCTACATGTCTCTTGGTGATGTGACATCGAGAATGAATCAAGTAGAAGAGTCCTACCTTTACTTTCAAAGAGCCACTGAGAACATAGAAGCCATCTACCAAGTGTCATTTGTGGATGAGTTGACATTGAAGTACAAAGAAATCACTCGAGGTTTCAAAATATTTCAAACACAGAGTGTGTTTGATGATAGAATTGAAGGCCTTGTAGCAGAGTACGGGCATGGAATGGCCTTTTTGTTAAACCACAATAGCAATGGTCAATTAAGAAAATGCAGAGCTGATCGAAAACCTGTCACTGTGAAGAAAATGGATGGTCAGTTTTCCGAGTCGATGTCGATAGTCTCTTTCAAATACTCATCCGATTTCATTAAGAGTGGGCAAAAGCTTCTCCGTCTTGGAATGATTAAAGAAGCTGCCGTTTTTTTCCAATACGCAGAGTTGCATTGCGGCGTACATGTAAACCAAGGTTACCCTAACTTGGGTGTTGCCCGCCTACACAGCATATTCCTGAAGGAAAAATACAGATGTCACGGGACACTGAAGCATGACCATCGTCTTAGAAAATTTTTGGAAGACCTAAGCAGCGTCATAGAAGCAAGAGGTGCTCAGAGTATCGTCGAAAGAATTGATGGAGTTGTGACAACGATGGAGTTTGACTATCCGCGAAACCTGAGGCCTGTGTTGATTTTACTTCTTTTGTTCTCTATAGAACTGAAAATGGTTGAAACGACTTTTGTAGCGTATGATTTATATTCTAAACTTTTTCAAAACGAGAACAGTGTTCCATTTTTGCTTCTCGATGGAATTCAAGTGTATGCCTCAAAAGCCATAATCACCTGTAATGGAGAGACTGCTGTTCAAGATATCCTCATTTCCTCTCAGATTGGTCTGAAAGAGAGCGACGCGGAAAACGCTTCTACTGACACATCGTTATTTCACAGTTTGGCTTCCAAGGAGAATGCAACCGAAAATGCTTTCTTGGTGACTGGCAGAACGCCGTTCCTTCTAGACATCGAAGACCTCAATACTGTGAAGGAAAAGATATCACTTGCAGTTCAAGAGTGTTTTCAAATGAAGTGCTTGGAAACTGAAGCCAGAGGTGTAGCGACTAAGGTTATTGTGGATTTGACTCCAACGGCGAAATGTGGCCTCGTTTTGTCTATGGGCAGTCGAATCGATCTGTTGCCTCTTTGTTTATCAGAACATCCAAACAGTAGTGTTCCGCATAAAGAAACTATCTTTGAGATAGACACTTCGATGCACCAGAGGATTACAGGAGTGACCTTTAAAGATGAACAGACAAGCTGCTTCATGTTCAAAAAAGTTGCACTGAGACTTCTTCAGCAGAGAGACGCAGGAAAAATCTCATCAATGACGCTACCGCATCACAGCCTTTCCTTGACAGTTCTTCATCCGGGAAAAGTACGGCTCAATTTGTCACAAAGTGGAAAAGAGATCATACAAAAGAATCCAGTTCGTAACAACAAGAACAAAAATTACCGGCCGGGCAAACTCGAATGGTGCGTTACAGGCTTCCGTTCTTGATGCAATCTCTTTGCCTGAAATTTATCAGACGACAGAGAAGTATAAGGTGCCATGCCAAAAAAGAACTTTATCGGAGGCTCCTTCGGTTCAATCCGTCACACTCTGTGAAACTGTGAGTAAAATTACTTAAAACTAAGATGTTTTGTTTTAAAACTTTCTGCATGTAACTCTTTACTGTGCCAACCGGTGTAAACCACTACCCCCGTGGTCTTTACTGGTAATCGTCTTTTAGCTGGTGTAAGACTTACATATCATAATTTGTAATACTAACATCTCTTAGGCAAGAATGCGACACTACTTCGCAAGTAGAACAATTTTGTGTGGACAATTCCTTGAGGTAAAAGGACGATCATTGTTTTTCCACATTCTCCTTATGGTTTGATGATTGCCAACATCTTTAGGCTTGGTTTGGTTGTAGGGTACAAGGGTCGCTAGTGTGGAGATGCGATACAGTCGAGACAGACTTTACTCTGCAGAGAAATTGAAGTTGACAAATCATTGTTTGGGTGATATTTTCCAAACATATTTTAGGTCCAAAGTTTGTCGATTGGATAATTGCTAAAGCAATTAAAGTAGACCGTAAACAGCGTTTTGGCGCCAGTCACTCTCAATGAACTGGAAAATACTCCGAACTGGTGAATCACAGTGAAACAGATAGGATTCGAGACAACAAAGGAGCTGATAATGTCGATAAATGAATGGTTGTCTCTCTTCCTTAAAAGCCAGAGGGCAGCTACCTGGAAGAGTACACACTACCATAACATTTATGCCACCCTTACCTCTCACAATTGTTGTAGCATTTCGTACAGCTGAACTGCCGTTCAAAACCCCATGAACGTCTCAGCTTTCTCCACTTCACTGCATTCTGATCGTCTGGACTCAAGACAGGAGGATAAATCGAAATCCAAAAGCTTTCTATGTTCTATAATCTACAAATTAATTGCCTATTTCTTCTTGCTTTTCTTGTCTCTTACTAAGAAGGTATGGGCAAATTTCGTTTGGACTTCACTTCGCTAAAATTCGCCGACAGCTCCAATACATTTCTATCCCATAATTCTGGCACTGGCTCTCTAGCTTTTGCTCTGGTGATTTTTACAAGAGAAATGTAATACGGTGTAATCAACTACAGTCAAAGAAATCATAATTTGATGGGCACTGGGTCATCTCTTTGCGGAATGTTTGCTTCAGTTGATTGCTTCTAACGCTTCAGTTACTCGCTCTGTGCTAAACACACCCTACTTTCTCTTAACACCTTCATCAAAGATTTTGATTTCAAGAAAGTTTACGGTTGCTCTCCGGGGCTGTCCTGACCGCATTGGAATTGATGTACGCCTTTTTGGAGGCCTCTGCCATTCTAGTAAGAAGGACAAACCAAATCTGCCTGAGATTTGTAAAGCCTATAAGAAGAGTAATCGCCACACACTTACGGCTTTTTAAGACCCACTGGTTGCTGAAGTTTACTCAAGCGATATCAGCTGATACTATGAGAGGCTGGGTTCGTAAAATTTCCCCAAACGAGGTGAAAGGATCTGCTTCCAATCGTAAAGACTAACTTGGCTGACAGAAGAAACCATTTTCAAGTTTAAAGCAAATGCATTTGAAAGTGGTTTCGTATTCATCAAAAGGAACCCTCTAGGAACGATTCCGACCCCATTTTTCGTCGGAGCGAAGATTTCCCTGTGACAGATGTGGATTGCAGGACTTGGCTAGGATGACGTACTCCTGGGAGATTTAATTAACAGGACAGGGTAGCAGCCACTGAATTCGAGGAACGCCGACGCCAAGGTGTTTAACGGAAAATGAATCCTTCAATGGTTTTTCCAAACAGAGTACAGTTTCATAAATTGCCAGTGGAGTACCCCTGATTCGATAAAGAAAAACTCAGACGACTAGTTGTACGCTTTTTAAAAAAAGAATCAGAGAAAATTAGCCTCAATGTTATAAGACAAAGGAATATCATAATTCTGCAATTGAGTTCCAGGGTTCAGGAAGGAAGAGGTTCATATTTAGCACTGAGTATCAGAATTTTGAACTGACAAAGACCCACTACCAACCGTGAAGTAAATATGACTAACTTGGCTGCCTGAAGAAGACGCCTTATCTGGATTAGAATGGAATGACACGTCCCTGAGTGATTGATTTACAAGACAGGAAGTAATTGAAGAACTGGAGGACCGCTCTTCCTCTAAGACACCTTGCTATTTCTTAGATTCTTTTTAAGACACTAATGAAGCGGTTTTATTGTTTGGGAGAGTGATTTGCTCTTCAGACGAGTGGTTTCAGGAAAAACCCGCGTTATCTTTTCATTTGCTAACGGCAGCTTTATGTCTATGATAAACTGGAACTCCTCCAACCTTTCTGAATTGTTAGTTGGCTCGGGAAATCTTTTGGTGTGACGGTGAGAGTATACATTAGTAGATCAGGGGAAGAAGTGGACATTTTGTACCTATCGTGGCTGATCAATGAGGCCTAATTCAAGGCCTGACCAACCCCAAGCAATGGAGTTACGTTCCAGCTGGTGAAATCTGGTAGTTATTCTCTCTGGGGGAAGCCCATTCTAAGATATAGTGGAAGAAGTGACATTGTGGAACAACCCTGGACTTAATAAGGAAGGAAAACCAAATGACTGGATAATTACGCTGAAACAGACACAATTTCAGAAGTAACAGTTATAACAACTAAGTGCGAAGCAGTTGACAAAAAGCAACAGCTGAAAAACACACTGAACTAATGGTCAAGCATTACCATAAAAAGGAAAGTACACGAGGAAGTAACCACACCCTCATGGCATGACTCTGAATCCTGTCTGAACGTGACGAAATTTTGAAGTTGGAGATCAAGCGCAAGGAATTTTAACGAAGACATTATGGCTCCACTTCTAGACATCATACCACAAGCAGCTGTCTTAGCATTGACAGCAGTCGACTCTGAAGGTCTACTTTTTATCATTGAGGGATGATGGACAGGTGGAAAAAAGCACTGTTTAAGTTTAAATGGCCTACGTCCTGACCCTTCATTAAATGAACCAGCGTAGAAGACTTCCTAAAGAGATGTTGTCCGACTATAGTTGCAACTTTGTACAGGCTAACAAAGAATTAGTAAGAGAGCTTCTCAAGAGGAGATGACGAAGTTTATTGTAACTGAAGAAGCGAGATGGAAATTGATCCCTCTCAACCCTTCTCCTTCCCCCCTCTTTTATGCTGCACTTTGCTGGAGTATTCGGAGAGATGATTACGGCAGTGAAATAAACTAGGAATGCGATTTAAGGCAACGCCATGTTATCGACGAAGTATTGAGGACAGATTTTATGCCTTCTAGATTCAATTTCACTAACATACCAATCTGCGAACCCAGTGGATGATATACCGATCTTACCAAACCACTTCCAAGGGGACAGTTCGCGTCCGAATTGTTGGATGACAAGCCCTCAAATCTAAAGAAGAGATTGAGGAGAGCCCATGGCATGATTGGTGTTGCTAGCTTCGGGAGTGGCTATTAGGACTCAAGATCGCCAGAACTAGGATAAGACTTGTATGTTGCAGAATATGTGAAATTCATCGCGGGATGGGCATGCACGAACTGCCAAAGTGTAGATTGCAAGATACGAATTTCTCTGACGAATTTTGTAACTACGCCTGTTGTAATCTTGAAAAGTTCCGATGCAAAGAAGGGTAAAGAGATGTGGTTTTCGTTGGTTTAGGTATAAAACCCCTATTCAACCTTCTTCCTTTTGATATAAGTTAATTGATATTTGATGTCAGTTAAGACCAAAGAATACTTTTCTTGGTATTTGAGAAAGAATAATAAGAAGATATAACAATAATGGTTTCCCACGTTCCTTTAGGAGCGGTAGCAAAGCAATATATATATATATATATGGATGTTAAAAGCACTTCTCCAAAAATTGCGACCTTAAATAGAAACTCATTCTAACGGAAAGGAATCCTTAAAATCACAAACGAAATTGTTCAGGTGATAAGTAGGTGAGGCACTTGGAAGGCAATACAACAAAAACCATTGCAGAAATCGCCACCTGAAATTAATCATATTTCCGTCCTTTGTCTCAAGCTGTATCTAAAGAGTTTTAACTTTCTGATTAGAATGTACAAGTTGAAGAAATTTCCGAAAATGGAAGCCGAGAAAAATTGTGAAGTATGGCTCCGCAGCTTAGTTGGTAGAAGCGTCCAAGCGGGAGGCACGGATTCGAGTTCCGTCGGAGCCTTTATGACTCAGTTTTTCCAGGCTTCCTCGTTTTAAATTTCGAATTATCCATTGGTATTACATCGCGCGGCTTGTAATCAACAACAGGTCAAAATATAATTTATATTTCAGCTACTATTTCCAATCATAAAGCACTCGGTCGAGAATGTTTGAATATTCATAAACTAGAAGTCACATGTTGATTAGAAAATTGCCTGATTGGGTACATTTTGTCAAAAAGAGTAAAATGGAAGTATCATACCTATACTCGTCATACCCACTCTAATGAACACCGAAGAGACAAAAAGTGCAATGCTTTCATCATCTAATGATTAAATTGATAATCAACAGGAATACAAGCGATAAAAAGTTGATTTAAATCACATTCATATATTTTCATATTCACCTCCTAACAGTGTTTTGTTATGCACAAACAAATGTAGTATTTACCATGTAAATAAAATTTATTTTCAGGTCGATACATCTGAATTGGAATACAGGCAAGAAAAAACAAGAGAGAAATTTCTAGGTTGTCTCAGGACTGTCAGCCAGATATCACAACTGCTTTACAGCGTGGAGAGTCCACTGACTAACGATGACATCTGTATGGCGGATCCCAATCAATGTCATTATGCTTATGGAAGTCTAGAAGACCAGGAATACCTTTCCAGGAAGCACGGTGTAAGTTTTGTGGAACTGGGTGACGATGACACAAGATGTCTAACTACTTCCTCTCAAAATCGGAAAGACCAGAAAAACACATCACTTCAGCATCTGACAGAGAGTTCAGAAAGAAGTGAAAATAACGAGGGTCTTACATTGAACGCTCATGAATGTACCACTGTTGAGGAAAGCACGAACAACCATGAGGAAGAATCCTTGCTCAGAGCAGATCTTTGTGAGATATTGGAGGGGAAACGTCTATTTGAAGAAGATAGACAGTCAAGACGCTCTTTTATGGCTGACCTACAAGAAAGCCTGAAGAAAAAACAACCGGACTCCGAAAAGGGCGATTCAATTCAATCAAACAGAGCAGAAGTAAATGATTTTTCAAAATTGCAGTCAAGCCAAAATGATAGCAAATGTGGTAATTTGGAGGTTCCGCATCAAAACACAAAGGCCCAGGCACCAAGCGGAAACCTCATTTCCAGGAATGTCAGTAATCATGAAAATGGCCAAAGAATTAGCTCACATGAAGGCAACACAGCAAAGGAAGAAGACAAACTGATGAGAATACATCAACTACCACAAGGTCCAGCCCTAAACAACGTGAAAGATCGTAACGATTTAGACATGGAGCCTAAATGTGAGCTTCCAGAGGACGTAAGTAGTGGATTGCCTAAAACAACGCTGGTTAAAGAATACCGCTTCACAGCCTCTAATGAAAGCGACAGCTCTAGCATTTTGGAAAGAGAGACGTACGCTAAGAACGTAGAGACAGCGAGAAATGATGTTTTTTTAAGTGAGCAAAACGCCATCAAAACCAACAGGGAGACATCACGTAACCAAGAGGTACAAGGCACTATAGGAGTTATCCAAGGAGATCAAGAAGGGCAAAGACAAACGAAGCCCGGCGGAAATAAATTTAAAAGTAGAAAACAGCATCTTGAGGAAGAAAGTGAACGAAGCGAGGTGGAAATCAGGGGAAATAGGGGCAATACACTGGAAAAGCAAGAAACTCCTTGTTCCGATTCTGAGTTAAGATCCACCATTTCAAACCGCAATGAAAGTACCATCAGGTCCTTTCTAAACGTGTCAATGAAAGAAAGGAACCAATATCCTTATTGTTCTAAGTCGAGAGCCACCATCTCAAACTGTGAAAGTACCACCAGGTCTTGAAGAACTTGACAAAAACGCCGTTGTTGTTGATGGATCAGTACTCGAAAAAAATTATCACAAGGATATTCATGCCATGGTTGTCATGCCTAACCACGAGGTACAAGATGCTATAGCAGTTGATCAAAGACAAACGAAGTCTGGTGTAAATAAACTGGAAATTGGAAAGCAACACCTTGTGGAAGACAGGGAACGAAGTGGGGTGGAAATGATAGGAAATAAATCCAATACACCAGAAAAGGATGGCACTTCTTGTCCCGATAGCGACGAAATGACATCAGCAAGAATATTCGAGCCACTTTTTGAGGAGATGACAAACAAAAGACCAGAACATTCGTGTCAAATCTTTTGAAGGATGGTACTTGGGTCAAACCTAAAAGTGGATGGAAAAAGAGAACCAAGAACAAGGATACCGTTAGAAGTCAAAATGACGTGGTAAATCTTCTAAGAGGACCTTAACAAAAACGCTGTCGTTGTTGATGGATCAGTACTTGAAAAAAATTGTTACAAGGACATGCCCAACCTAAAACGAGGAAAATTGGTCAAAGCAAACGATCTTTGAAATAAATTGGAAATTAGAAAAGCTTGTGGAAGACAAACGAAGTAAAAATGATGGATCCTCACGGACAGGATGGCATTTTAAGACAAAATAACACAGAGAGAACATCCAAGCCCTCTCAAACCGCCAACCCAGAACAAATACCCGTACCTCAAATCGATTGATCTTCCATGGGTGCCAATCTAATAGAGGAAAATGTTGTTTTGAAGCTGACGGCGGAAGTCGTGAAGACCTTTTCAATAATGTTGATACTGTAGATGGACCAGTACTCACACAAAATCTTCACAAGGACTTCTATGCCGGCGAGAAGTTCAAAACCAGCGTAAAGCACAAAAGTGTAACCTTAGGTGGCGAAAACGAGTCACATACAGATGAGCTTTGCAAATCTAGATATCCTCTTGAACCTAAGAGTAACCTCTTTCAATCTCACTCGGGCGATGGAGGTGCAAGACCCAAACAAAGATCAACAGACAACACTAAAACCCGCCTACCCCGGACCAGCAATAAAAATCCAATGTCAGCTAACTCTGACCTCGAACGAATATATCCGGGCCTAGATCCTGATTTTCTGGCACGTCACGTCAAAGAGGGTAGCCCACTGCTTCCGTTTCACAACGGTGGTAACTATAATCATGCTTCATCAGACGGTCTGTGGCAAGACTACGAACAGGAGTACTTTTCATTTAATGATCAGGACCAAGTCTTCAATAGCAAAGATCAAAAGTCACACTTCATGGAAGAGTTCATTCCACGCGATAAAGCCAATAGATATGATAAAGTTATTCCTGTTTATAACGCCTTAGCTGCTTTAGTGCCACTGAACGGAAAGGAAAAAGAAAGCTGGCATTTTCCACCCTCAGAGTCCTGTAAAGATATGGTGCTGCGAAATCAATGCTTTGCCGAGAGAACAAACGAGTCAAATCCAACATCGCTGCCAAAATCTCTTGATGCCAACCGGGTGAAACCCTTCTGTACGTGTGGATCAGCATGTGCATACAAAGACATGGCTTCAATGGCAAATGACTCCTCCACCAGTGTGGGTAATGATGAATGTGGACAATCACCACCAATGAGCGAGAACGAGCATTCATGGACAGAAAATGCATTGACCGCTAATTTTAGATACCTTCAAGAGATAATGGCCAAGACTATCCGGCTTGTTGCCTTAAGTGCTACAGGTGCGAAGGAAAATCATCCAGCAAACCAGACAGTCGAAAAGACAGGCATACAGGAAGAAACAGGCGATATGGGAGAAGCAGAAGCAACCGTAACACAACGAATTTATGAGACGAACACTCAACGAGAATCTACCCCATCAAATGAAACGACCGTAGAAGCTGAGCGGCAACCCACGGCAACACCTGTACAAGAGAGTCCACGCCCTGTTTGCAGTCATTATCAACGGCGATGCTTGGTCCGGTTTCCTTGTTGTGGAAAGTTCTTCCCTTGCCACCGCTGCCACAACGAGTCAGACTGTAGTGAGGATCAGGCAAGAGCAGTTAATGCCACACACATACGATGCACTATCTGCTATCACGAACAAGAGGTGAGATTTTTGTTTATGATCCTCTGATTTGCTTTCATGTTAAGAAAAGAATCTAGCTAATAGACCCTTAAACAGGTTAATCTCATAAAAGAACGGCTGATAGACCCTAAAGTCTCGAACGAAAAAAAGACGCTATTACATCCTTTTTCTTGCATTCTTTTCAGATCGACGAAAATGGCCAGAGATGTGGCGGCTGCAACGCAGTCATGTCTGAGTATTTCTGCCCAACATGTCGCCATTATACCTCCGTGGATAAAAATCCCTTCCACTGCGAAAAATGTGGTATCTGTAGGTAAGATGATGAAACGATTTTTGCATGACTTATGGACCTAAAAAATGAGAAAAAAAAAGGGATTTGGAGGATCTACAAGATATGGTTTCCATTTCGACTTGAGAGGATTGGAGTATCACCTCAACCAGTTGTTTTATATTTAGAAGCGTACTTTGCTACATAGTAGCCTTTTATTCCGACGGATTGGGAAGCAACACCCCTAACATCTTTCGGAAATCTAGATAAGTTTCTGGTTTCTGTCATTCTGACCAGTTTGGGTCGTGTGAAACAATCGGCTACCAAACGTGCGCGAGTAAAAGTAACAAATTCGACTCCCTCCTACTAACTTTAAACGTTTTGATAGAATCCATAGAGACAGATCCTTCCATTGTGATGTTTGTAACGTATGCCTGGACAAACGTCTTGAAGGAAAACATAAGTGTAGACCTGATTCGGGACACGATGAATGCTGCATATGTCTCGAGGTGATGTAGTTTTGCTCGATGGATGAATTACTGCCCTAAGTGTGGGAAATCTTAACTAGTGTATTCGTAATTACACAAGTCATGTGCTTTTAGGAACGCCTTTTCCTTATACTGCTTGCTTCTTGAAGTAATAAATTTCCAATCAAGTTTAATGTAACTTAATGTGTAATTCCAATATTTATCATTGGTGTCTATGCCTTTTTTGTACGCTCGACCAGAAGCCAATCGCCCTTTTATTTCACATTTAATTTTTAATACGTCGTACATCCCCCAAAACATTTGCCAATTTTTCAAAATCTCGATCATGGCCTGAACAATTCTTAAAAGTTACATTTAGCCACAGATAACTTCTTACCTTGTTGGTGTGGCGTTAGGAAAACATGAACGAGCAGGGAGAACTGGAAACAGCTTACTATCTCAACTATTTCACAAATTTCAAAATTTAAGGAATAGCTCTTGAAACAGAGAGATTTTGATCTAGCCTCCGTCCTTTAACTTTGTCCTAGTTAAACCTATATTGATACATTTTTCTTTACTCTTGTCACAGGACGCCTTCAGTGGTTGTCAAATTCTCCCCTGCTCCCACAAGGTTCATAAGGACTGTGCCATTGCGATGATACAAAATGGCGTGTATGTATTCTTGAAACCTCACACACATCTGAAAATAACACCCTAGTTTTCTGTGGTGACTTCTTTTGCCACAGTTGACGAGTTTAGTGCTTGTGAACATTCCTTGACTAAATTTTGCCTACTAATTTTAGGTGAAAGCTTCCACTTTCTCGTAATCCTTGGCATTAAAGAACTTTTTTGAATTATTTATCGATTCAATCATTACAAAACTTTGGCTAAAGTCAAGTGATATTACTAAAAAAAACTAGCAATTTTCGAATCAGTATCGTAAGGGAATTACATTGACCAATTTGATTCAAATTTAATCTCGACTGGACATGGCGGAAAAGCCATGGTAGGAAAAGCGCTTAAAACTGATTTTGGATTTTCAACATTACATCTTTCGAGTCTTACCTTTGAGAGCTACTTCTTCCCGCCTCATCAGCTAGCTTTGCTGTGTCAGAGATGTAGGGGGACTTAAAATCAAGCAGCATTTCTTACCCTTAATTATTATTTTTTTTTCACAGCCGCACATGTCCAATTTGCCGCCATCCGCTATTCGGTCAACTCCAAAACAGTACTCAATAAGAAGTTTTCTACCGACGAAGTTAATTTTAGAGCAAATTATTCACCATTAGAAATGACGATAAAAATTTTGAGGGATAGTTTGGACAATATGATTCGTTACATGGTAATTTTCAGAATATCTCAAGCCCTAAAATTGATCGAAATCTAGAAATTCTCGATTTCAGGAATAGGTTATTTAGTAGGTAGAGTTTATTAAGACAAAGTCATCCTTAAATCAGTGAATTACTTTTCTTTACCTTCGTTCAGCGTCCATTATTTTTTCTTTGAGATTAGATGTAACTAGATTAAAACTTGAGCTATTTTTCACCCGAGAACAGATTTTTAACTAGGAAGTATACAGGTACGATTATGCATGCGTACCGGTAGAGTTTTTCTGTTTAAAAAAAAAAAAAAAAAATAAATAAACGACCAAAGACTAGGCAAGAAACCAAAATCATACTAATATGACAACCAAAACCAGCAAACAAACATGTAACGATTAGAGAGAAAAAAAATTAGCTTAGTCTAAGCCGTTTAGTTATCGTCACTTCTTATGATAATAGACCAGACTGTTTTGGGGTAACCGAATGATTTCCACTGACCACAATGCAGCTGTATAGCAGAGCAGAAGCCCAATGAGCTGTTACACACACACTTCAGAGATTAATTTCCTAGTAAGTTCTTAACTAGCGTTTTTTGAAGGGTTTGGACCTCCTTAGCGTTATAGTAGGGTTTGTCTTGTTGGTGTTGGGGTACTAGCTTTGCTTCGATTCTCTTGTTTGACTAAGTATAACATACGCCTGCACTAATCATTTGTTGTTATTCTTTTCGCAGATGGCAGTTCACAAGAATGAATTTTACAGGTATTGTAATTAGATCAAATATTGCTGACTGAGGAAGGAAAGTTTAATGACCAATTACAGAAAAAAAAAAATGACAATTACGATGACATACTGGTATAATGACAAACAGTATGGTCGACTGAAGTTCGATTCAAGTTCATTGAGAAACTTGGTTGACAGAGAGTTCAGAGTTACCATAGTATTCAATTAAAAAAAATGAGTCAGCGTAAATCGACTTAAGAATGATCTATCAGAGGCAGCTTAAGAAATAACGGATAATAAAAATAATTTGCATATACGAGACATTACCTGGCATGTTGCAAAGTGGACTTAGAGTTCACGCAATGTACTTTGCTACAAGTATTTTTAGCAAGGCTGCTATGAATTAGTATACATGAATCGTACTACCCTCCTCAAAAAGGTAGTGGTAGAAAAACCACAAATGTATATGTATAAGTAACCACATCATAAGAGCGCGAGTGAAATTTCGTTTTCAGAAGGAACAAATTTCGTGAGCGTCTCTGTGTTCTGTGAAATTATTGTAATAGCTAAAAAATTTTCAGTAAATGCGGAACGTACCAATCACCTTGGTAACAAGAAGTAATCGTAAGCTTAACTTGATGTATCAGTGACCTCCTAAGGGCCGCATGACTAAAACTTTGTTTTCAGAAGAGAAAAAAAAATTATAACCGTTATTTCCATCTTGCAAGTAAATCAGTAAAAAGTAGGTAGTCTCGAGTAAGCGCAATATACAGGTAACTGTTTAAGATAGCGCGAATGAAATTTCGTTTTCAGAAGGAACAAATTACTATTCGCTAAAATGCATTTTATTGGCAATGTTACTCTCCAACCTCGGGACATAAAACAGCGTGGTAATAAATAATCGTAGGCTTTATTTGACGTTTCAGTTATCGTATAAGAATTGCATGAGTTTAATTTTGTTTGAGAAGAAACATTCTATGAACGGTATCTAAATATTTACAAGTAATTAAGCAGTGTATTACCCGGCGTGATGAATAGAAAATTAGTGTCAAAATAGACGCTGTTCATAGGTAAACTTAAATGAAAAGTGTAAGTGAAATTTCGTTTCAAGAAGGATCAAATTTTATGAGCGCTTTTCAACTTATTTTTAGTGCCACTCTTTTTCAGCCAAAGTACTCTACGTAAAGACAATGCATGGTAAAAAAATCGTAGGCTTTATTAGATGTTTCAGGTAACGTATAAGAATTGTTTCAGAAGAAACATATATGAACGTTATCAATATTTTACTAGCAATTAAGCAGTGTATTACCCGGCATGATGAATAGATTAGAAGTCTCAAAATAGACGCAATGCATGATAAACTTAATGAAAAGCGTAAGTGAAATTTCGTTTTAAGAAATTTTATGAGCGCTTTTCATTTTTAGTGCAACTTATCTTTCAGCTAAAGTACTCCACATAAAGACGGTGCATGGTAAAAAAAAAAAAAAAAAAAAAGAATCGTAGGCTTTATTAGATGTTCCAGGTACCACTTAAGAGGCGCGTGAGTAATTAGGAAATGTGTTACCTAGCTTGATAAATGACCGAGTAGCTTTTAAAGTGTGAGCGCACACACGCACAATATAGCGGTCAGTGTGGTAATAAGTAATCGCTGTCTTTTACTTAAAAAAATTTTAGAAAAGCGTTGGTGAAATTTCGTTTTGAGAAGAAACAAATTTACGAACGCTATCTATAGGTGATCGCGTGAGGTGTGATATATTCAAGCTCTATTGCATACTATTATTAGCTGGTATTTGTCTTATTTTTATTAATATACATGATTTATAGCTGAAATATTTTTTTAGGCTTTTTCTTTACGTTTTTTCCTCCTTGAAATGTTAATGTAATTCAACCAGAGGCTGAATGAATAGCATAACGAGACAAAATGAGTCTAGGTCTTGCATCAATAATGTCTAGCAGAGGGGGAGAGGTGTAGGAACATTTAATCAGTTCGTCCAAGATATGTAACATGACATGTTATGCAACAACATGCACTTGACGCTCATTTGTTCAATAAACTTTCAAATCACTCAACAATATTTTGCATTTGTGATCATTATTTCTTCCAAAAATCTACGTATCTGCTTCATTCTTTTCTTCCCCTGTTTGCTAATTTTTTTTTGTTTTTTTATATTTTACAGCCTTGAGTCATTTTTGTTTTCAAATTTGCTCCTATGTCTTCTTACAGCCTGTTTCTGGTTTCTTTTATACGTGATGGTGCGGTATACATCGTCTTAGAGGAAACGTGTTAGAGCTAGCCTGCTCTGTTTAGAGTCATATGTTTCAGTTCTGTGATCAGTCGATTTCGCAGGCCTTACCCTTGAGTCATTTTTTAATTTTTTTTTTCAAATTTGCTCTTGCGTCTTCGTACAGCCTGTTTCTGGTTTCTTTTAGTACATGACCGGTTCGGTATATCGTCCCAAACGATACGTTTGAGAGCTAGCCTGCTTTGATTATAGTTAGATCTTTCAGTTCTGTGATCAGTCGATTTTGCAGGCCTCACCCTTCTCGATAACTCGCTTAAAGTAGCGCCATTTCTGTTACTATAACCTCGCGTCAGTGGAAATTTTTCTTTTTACTTCCTAATCTTCAAATTAGCAGTGATCTGTTAACTCATTTCCTAATTAACATTTTTCATGTTAAGTTAGCGGGAGTCACTTATTTTCAAAGTCCTTACAGATAATTGAAAAGTATAGCATTTTGGAAACAAAACAGCGTCTGTCAAATATTCCTTTAATCAACTCAAACAAGCAACTCCAACCAAAGCTTGCTTTCTACGTTAAGCAGATAAAGTTAGCTCTTAACAAACGGGTGGAAAATAATTCAAGAAAGAAAATTACTGACCCAAATAAGTCTAAGCTTTAACCCACCAGGAAGTTTCTGGCCAATAGTAAACCAGCCTAAATGTTATTTGCAACCCCAATGAACCATGGAATTCTTATGGTAGGATTTACCAAGACTAACTTTAATTTTTGGAACATACTAGTTATGTATAAGCTTTACAGATGCATAATAAAGAGGGAATGGGTAAACGAAAAAGTTTCAATTGTAGATGTACTTCATCTATTCGCAAACTTTACTTTAAGCTTGTATCAACATAACTTCCTTTTCTGTGATTCAAGAAAGCGTATTTTTTACAATGTTACTCTGGTGCATTATCTTATGATTATTTGAATGAAAATAAACTTAGTAAGCTTAGCCAATTTTCCAATTTTTCCTTCTCTCCTCGACATAACTGAAATATGTACTGTAAGTGACGCGGAGAAACTTTTTGACCCCTCCAAAAGCCAGGTAAATTTTTGGGCCTCGTTGAAAGCAGTGTAAGATCTACTACATGCACACTCGCAGAAATGTAATATGTACCATACTGATTTCTATAAACAATAATCTTACGGTTTTGCAAAGATTAGAAAAATTATGTGAGTATTTTGCATTCAGTGTCACATCGTGTGCCATCCAGCTTTCTTCACCTCTCGAGGTCTTCGCTTAGCGAATGGATCAGGAATTGGCGGCAAGAACTCGATTTGCTGCGTCACAATTTTTCTGTTCAAGATCGCCGAAACTTGTTTCTCTTCTGTGATCCTCTCAGGATACCCGTATACAAACTTCTTCTGTACCCTCTTGGCTTTGGCTCCTGAGCTTCGCGCAACCATAACGTACACCCCTTCTGCGTCGTGAAGATCACTCGGTGTCTGCGTCGCCTTCTCAACGACGAAGTTGCTGGTGTAGCAGTACAGACCTGAGTTTGAACGGGACCGTCGGGGCCATCCATTCACTGGACCAGACGAACTTCCCTTCACTGGACGCTTCTCCAATTCTTGAATCCGATTCATCAATAACTGTAACATCAATGCCTGCTCATTACAGAGCTGCTGCCTACGTGCCAATTCTCGCTCCAAGCGATTCGATAGTGTTTCTACTTTGGTTTCCTCCAATCTGTCTTCGATCAAACTACGAAGTTCAGGAAAGAAGTAGGCCTTTCCATTTGTGCTATCTTCACCAGACGGAGCCGTCTTCGGCTTGTTTTCATGCGGCACGTCTAAGACGTCAACCGTTGCCATGCTAGGATGCGACAACCTATTAAAATTAGCAGTCACTCTTTTCTCGACTGCTTCTTGAAGCTTGGCATAAAAGTCCCCGCTTTCATCTTTGTCAAAACCACTTACTTCGGCTCTGTCGCTATCTGGCATCCGCGACGTTTCCAAGCGACTGGTTCGTCCGTCATTTTCTTGTTCGAGCGATTGAAAAACTCGTTTCATGGCCTCGTGGCGTACTTCTAAAGATGGGAACTCCTCGGCGATATCTTCCGCTCGAAAAGCCCAGCTTCCTTCGCTCCACGAGTTTGAGAGGTGCTGACTTTTGTCTTGAGCCATGTCAACTGGGCTCGAAACATGGCTGCCGCCGACACCAGAATTGTCTTTCGTAGCTTTTGCACGGTCTTCTTTTGTGTTTGGAAGGGAGTGAATCCTCATGAAAGGCGGTGAACCGTCTTCAGCCTCCAAATCAGTGAGCATGTTCCGCCGCATATTATTAACTTGGCATGTTTGGTTTATTCCGAGGCATCAGGCACAATTATTGTCAACGAAAAGGTTGCCATCTGCATGTTTCTCATCTTTCATTCTAATGATCCGTTGCCAAGTTAATTTTGAATTGTTTGGAATTGCTGCACCAATCAAAAGCACGTAGGTACCTCATTCATAATGTAGACAATGCAACAGTATGTGGTATTTAGTAAGCTTGAACTAAAATGCGTGGGAGATCATATATCCAAAATTTGCTCGCAGTAAGACAAAATATCGATATCCGCTCTAAATACACTCGCTTACCATCGCGATAACCAGTTGTTAAGACGGGATCGACATGAGTAACACTCAATACCAATACTTGTTTCGGCAAAACAAAAAATGCCTACCATCTTTCGAGCACGCCGTTAGTAACGTTCAGTAAAAAAAGTTTCTTTTGAACTTTCTTCAGTGTTTAATTATTAATTGACTCCAAAGAGTTTGTAAAGTTACTGATATTTGACTTTCGAAGTTTACATAAGCTAATGAAGTCCTCACACGATAAACTCTGTGGTTTCGTAAGTGAAGGTAACATTGGCAGTTGGCAGTATCAGATTTCGCTTGATGGGAAGAAATTTCATTAGCGCAAATACCTACAGTTTGAAATTCTTATGCATGCAGTTATATGCCTCGGAAATTAGGGCGCTCTTTCTAGCCGTCTATTCATTGTATTACAGGATAAGAAGTCTGAAAGTTGGTCTAGCATACTTTAAGACTCACGAAAACTAAATAAAAAGTTTTAATAAATCGAATTCAAATATTATTTTATTCGAAATTCTTGAGTAATCGCGTTTTTTTTCCCTTTAATATAAGGAACGTCGACGCTATTGTATGTGAAAGTTATAAATAAAATATTTAAACTTCTAGCACCTTCGAAAGCAGGTGACGAACAGTGGAAGTTTTTAAATTTCTTTTCAAATATTACTTTTAAAAGGAGCTATCTTCTTTTCATTCAATTTGCGGTAACATGCTGAAATTCTCATCAAACGTTCACAAATTTAAAAAAAGAAAACTCATTACTTCCTGCGTTTCCTGATCGGAGAGCACAGCTAGCCCACTTTTACAAAGATATTGAGGAAAAAGTGCGTATTGCATAGCACTTCATTTTATGTCACAAAAAGTTTGACAGTTATCGAATGCAAGTTATGCTGTGTGACAGATATGTTAAATTTTTATCGAATTTCAAATTTAATTTTATATATTATCGTGGTCTTGCTGCAAATGGAATGGAAAGGCAAAACAATCACTTTTACAGGGGGAAAAAGGAAATTTTACCTTCCATTTCATCCAGCCCGCCCTCATTGATGTTTCTTGCCCAAGCTATGTATTTTATATCTACATTCTATAATAGTACAAGTTACATAGCAAGCAATCCAATAATTGTTAAGTAGTTTCAAAATATTAAGCACAACAAGTCTGAGTGGTATTTATTTCGTATTCAAAGCTGGTTTTATATTTTCATCTCAAACTGTGTTTCTCAGTTTTCTTACAGAAACGTAAAATTTGGAGGACCGATGAATTGGTATCACACAGACATCAACCCTAAGATATCTAAGGTATTCAAATGCCATCTGTACATATTTGTCTCATCGTAATGAAATTTCAATTGTTCTAATGCCTATCTACATAAGTTCTTTGATTTTATTCAGAACGCCCTCTAAACCAAAAGATGTCATAGCGGAAAACGGTACAACCGATTCGAAATTTGTCCTCGCTAACTCCTCCGTTAATTCGATTAAGCTTGCATTTTGATGATGGACTGGGCTGTTTGAGGAAATTTCTTGCAAAACTGAGAGGAGAGTCTCTGAAAATAGAAAATAAATAAAACATTAAAATCAGGGACACTATTGTAAGCAACTTGAGGGCTCCATCACATCTAAAAACACCTGAACTGATAGTCTTACCATGCCTCATGTATCAAACTCCGGACCAAAAGCCCGGTGGGAGCCTGGTCCAGAGCTAATACTCAGTCTTCTATTCACGATTGTAAATTCTTAATATTCAATTCAACGTAACAGATGAGTTGACCATACAATGAGCAAGCTGAAAACTGGCTCGAGGTCTGCGCTCGAGCCCTCGCAGGAGGTGATTCCCTATTCTTAAGCCTAAATACCAGCTTGATAACCATACAACTTTTTCCTTGTTTGTTTTTCATACTGTCGAGGGTTGTACAAAGGGCCCTTCATAACATGAGGAACTACAAAGTCAGTAAGAGGATTTCAAAACCATTGTTTAGTCGAGGGGGCGCATATAACAAGAGTTGTATACTTCCATTTGTATCACTCCAGAGAATCTAGAATTCACCCAAGTCACCCAAGTCGATAAAACGATTTTACGTTGACCTTTAAAACATCTCTTGCATGTTACTCTACTTTACATCACGACAAGTGCGTTTGAAAGCTTACCTTGTTCTTGAATAGACTGCAACTGCTGTTTCAAAGCCTGAAATCTGCTAATTGCCCCTTTTCGGTCGAGCTTCGTCACAATAAGCATCTTTGGTCGATTCAACAACTCTCTCTTGTACAAAAATAGCTCCTAGACAAACACCGAGGGGAGAGGAGTAGGTTTTAGAAAAAAAAATTTCCTTTAAGCGAAAAAAAAAAAAAAAAAAAACATTTGGAACATTCATACTTGCTGATTCTTTCCATCATTCACTTGTATTTGTGATGATATTATGACGATGACGGTCATTGGTTAACCCGGAGAAAATTAATTATAGCGTAAATACCTTGAGTAAAATGCACACGTTTTCAAATGCTGTCCTCGCAGGGAATTTATCGTTGAAATGGAAGCCATCGACATCAACCTAGCAAAATTTAAGAGTCCGTCATTTAATATTTCCTTACAGCATTTCCATCGTACAATTTTGGTGGGTTGGGAGGCGAAATGAGTTATTAAATGTGCTATGGAAAATACGGAGGTGGTGAATACATCTCGGGAGACCGGGCCGACTCATGTAAGGAGACTACAACAACATCATGCTTAAGTGGAGACAATGAAAAAAAAAACTGCAAAGCAACAATGTTTTCATCCTTCTACAACAAATAGGTGGAAAAGTTATACGGTTTGTTACAGAGAAGCCCTTAAAGGGCAACAAAACATATTCGAATACAGCAGTTTCAAGAGTGGATGCCTAAAATCAAATCTCTAAACAGACTTGTGTTACTTACAACTAGTGCCAGGGCCTTGGCTTTTTCTGTGTGCTTCAGAAAAGCGTGACCCAGTCCCCTGTTAGCTGCTGCTCCTTCTATTAATCCGGGAAGGTCAGCCACGCGAACCTGCGAAAAGAAGAGACTTCCAGTTACACTAAACCTAACAGTTTTTTTTTTCTATTGAATTTCCGACAGTAAAGAAGGCCAACACTATGAGCCGAAGTGACACCCCTGTCAATATTTGGCCCGTTGTCGTTGAAAGCGTTGAAAAGAAAGAAAAAGTACAGAACTTCGTTTGCACAGCAATGTGGATCTCACACTCCTGCTATCTCGCTTTTCGTTTCTCTTCACCTTTAGACTGACATAACAAGATGCAACATTGAAATGTAGGCAGGTTACCACTCTTTTTACCTGAGAATGATCCGTGTATTCCACCATTCCGATGCTTGGACGCATTGTCGTAACTACGAAGGGAAAAGTTACATTTTGACCAGTGCAAAAGCCAGTTATGAGCAATAAAGGAATCACGTCACACTTCATTCATCTTGTAACAATTTATCGCAAATATCAAGGAAAAGTTCCTTTTGGTGACAGGAGCGACAAACGGAAATTACTCAAGAGTGCATTAAGAGTCTAAGGATAGAAACAGCAAAAGCTTCGCTCTTATAATGATGACACATCAAGCTCGCTAAAAACTCGACTTCTTCCTTGAAACATCCTTTTCAAAGTGTTGTTACAAAAACACAAACAGTCTCCCTGATCAGAGTAGACGGGTTGATTTACAGTAAAACGAATCACTCACAATCAAACAGTGACTTACAAGCGTAATCTCCAATTTTTGGGTTGGCATTACTGATGGCAGTTAGCAGAGTGGACTTGCCTGCATTTGGAAATCTAACAAGTGAAAGATGACCAGAACACTTTACCACATCTTTCAGTTATCATGTAAAAAACACGAACGTCCCTAACGGTTTTGGCATGCCGGTTGGTTGGGTAGTTAGTTAATTCTTTAACTCGCAAGATCATAATGTTAATTCTCTCCTCCGGCTGCTACACATTTCCTTCTAAATTAGCTATGTGAATTTGGTATTAGATCAAGATAACAGCTTCTAACTGATAAGTTTGAGTAGTCTCATAACCTGTTTGCTGTATAGTATACAGATATTGCAGAGAGAAGATACATGTTAATCATTTCTGGGAATCAAAGGGTTAAAAGAGTGGCGGGCAGGTGGATCATTTAACATGATTATGGGCGTAACATTCTGACAACGTCATCGAAGAACATGTTACTATAGAGGGCTACGCTTTCTCGTCCATGCGTTGAATAAATGTCGGTACGCATCTACAAACAAACCGTACACTAAATATCTGAACTCTATCTTTTTTTGTTTGTTTGTTTTGAGGACGTAAATTGCTCTATTTACTTGTATTTTTATTCGGAATTAAAGGATATGATTTCACACATACAGAAGGTGATGGCAGTTCTGACGCTAGTTAAAAACCAAAAACAAAATAATGCGAAACAACAGTGTCAGGCTAAATTAGAAGAACACGAAACACTATCACAGTACATACATGCAGTACATACCCAACCAAGGCTACGTCAGACTTCAGCCTCAACTCCAATCTAACCATGTTTAAATCACCCTTCTCTCCACCCCAGTTTTCTGTGACAGCACAACCTCCACGGCCGCCTTTGGCCACAACAATCTTGGACCCAGGTTCTTCCAGTTCTCCGATGATCCTGCCTTCATCTGTTGACAAAGTGGTTCCAGGCGGAACAGGGATTATTATGTCACGACCACGGATTCCACGATGTTTTCGGCCTCTCTCATCGATGCTACACAATGAAGTTAGAGAGCAATTAAAGTGTGGTCAGTTGAATTACACGATAGGAATTGAAAAGCAGATTTACAGTGTGGTTACACAAGAGAGTTAATGACAGAAATGTAATTCCACTTAGGATATCGCCAGGTTTCTCAATGCCCCCCCCTCCCACCACCACCTTAGAGAGGACAGGATACCTTCGAAACAGAAAGGTTACTTGACATAAACTTAAAACATGCAGTCGTGGCTCTTGCTCTTACTCACTTACTCCTAGTCTAATTTTTACCATATATTAAAGAGTCCCTTAGAAGCTTTACGTATATTTAACCAGAAGCCTATAACCTTTTGGTTCGGTAAAATGACAACAGGGACTCTCTCACCTAAAGGAAGTGCCATGTTCGGCGATGATCCGTCGGTTTTCTTTAATAGCAAAATGGCGTAGGTCACCGTAAGGAAGACACTTGACAATCACATCCCCACCATCCCCTCCCATTCCACCAAAGCGAGGTGATCCCTGGCCACCACCCCCACCACGGACGTAGATACGGGCGCGGTCGTCCAGCCCATGGCGCTCCGGTCTCTGTAACAGTAACATGATAACAATGAATTATCAAAAGTGAAATACGGCAGCGCAAGCCGTCTCTGCTTTCTCATTCGTCACAGTGCTTGAAAGCTAAAAGTAGAAAGAGGCTCGTTTTCGCGACTCGTGCATCTTAAAAAATTTAGCCGAAGTTTTTCTAGGTCTGTTATTAGTAAACCGTGTTCATGTTAGCCATCTTAACATTTCACTCTCAAGAGTGACCAAGACTGAATTTCTCCTTACAATATCAGTACAATATCACGCAGACAAGTGATGGGAATAAGTAATTAAATCAATTAGAAGATTATTAGTTGATCCAATACCAAATTCTCCGAGATAACATCATAAGAATTGTATAACAGACGGTAAGGAGATTAACAATTTAGATCTCGGGAGTGGAAAGGTTCAATCACCGTTTTCCTTTAACGGGTTACTCTTAACTTCTTAATGCTTATTCACCGTAGCAAATTATCATTTCAGGCTTGCTTTCGCGGTTAGGTCGCGTTTTAACCCTTTAACTCCTAGAAGTGATTAACAAGGAACTTCTGCCTATAATATCTATACATTATCCTGCAAACAGGTAACGAGAAAACTCCAACTTATCTGGTAGAAGTTGTTGTCTTGATCTAACACTAGATTCACATAACTGATTTACAAGGAAATGTGGGAAGTTAGAAGGGAGTATTAACAATCAGATCTTGGGAGTTAAAAGGTTAACGGCCGCTTCAAGGATGAAGAGATGGCAGGTGCCAAGATAAAACAAGAATGTATATATAGACTGCCGACCGGGACAAAAAAAATTGCTGTGGTAGGAAAGTATAGAGATGAGCGTAAGTGGGGTCTCAATTGCATTTTTCACTTCTGCTTTGTAAGCTACACGAAAGCCCGGCTTGTTTTCTAACAATAAGGGAGAGTGTGTGTATGCAAGATCCCTCTGGCGGCTCGCTCCTTAAGCGCCCTATTATCGTATCATATAATCGATACGTGCTGCACGAAAAGTGCATTCTACACCCCTTCCGTTGCCTACCTTGACTGGCACAGGAACTGGAGGACTAAACACTTTAAACGGTACGAGCTTTGGCGGAATGGTTGCCGTGAATGAAGGAGGTGGTGGCTCTATTAAGTGCCTCGCAGGAGTCATCTAAAGAAAAAAACAACATCAACTATTAACGTACACGTCTTGAGTAGAACATCTCGGAAACAGTTATTATTCCCATAAGTATCTCTCGCCCGGAAAATAACATAGATGGACATGTACATGTATATCTTTGCAGCAGTGACATACCATGGAGTCTTCTTCTTCACTCAGTGAAGGTAGCGCCTCAGTCATCACAGACAATCCTTGAAATGATGGCGGTGCCAACTTTTTAACATCTACATGAGATTGCATCTGCCACAAAACGATCAAAGAATAACTAACAAATAAATAAATCACCATGATACAAACATTCAAGTAAGGGGAAGAACAGTTGATCAACAAGTAACATGTGGTGAGATCTAGGAACAACTCCATCATCTGTCAAATTATTACCTCTCTGAGGAAGGGAATTTCATTTTGACCATAAAGAAGAACCACGTCAAGTGATTTAACTTTTGCATGTGTCTTTTTCAGACAGTACAGAGTGAACGATCTCCCTGACATGGGCTGTTGAACTGAAAGTAATATTTATGGTCAGTAATATCTACATTCAGCCTATCCATGATGGGAAAACTTGACAGTAATTTAGTTACTCTGGATAGCCCAAATCCTTTACATATCACACAACAGAGAGTAAAAAAGCTGATAAACGCTTGCTAGGCTGAGAGTGATAAGATTGAGAGAAAAAGGAGATAATTAAGGCTTAAAATAGATTTAAAACAAATTACACAATAACAATAAACTAAAAAAAAAAGTAAACTTGTTTGAACTGGTTTGTGGCATGGGTGCTAAACACTATTTTTTTTGAATTGGGAAAGAAGGAGGTTTTTAATATTTGAAGATTTCAAAAAAATATTTCAAAAAATTGGAAACATCAGCAACACATTTGAGGCTATGAAGTGTCTAACCAAGGATAATCAAGTCCACAGGAAGCAACTCATCCATTGACTGCACTTCATCCTCTGTCATCTGAAAAAATAATTACAATTTATCAATGATTAATTTTTGATAAAATTGGCTAATTTGTCAAACAATAAATTTAATTTTGGATCTTAGGAAAGATAGGATTACAGCCACTTACCACACGTATAGATGATCCTTCATCATCTGACATTTTCACTGTATCTCCAACCTCTCTTTCTATTGGCTCTCTGTCTACCTCCTCAATGTCAGCTGAATGCTGTTCCCCAACTGCTGTGCCAACTGACTGTCTGTCCATCACCTCTATGTCTTGTGCATCAATGTCTATGGTCACTGGATGTAAACTGTACATGTGCGCAGCTTCCTGTTAAGATTCAGTTGACAATGAATAGCTTCTTTATGTTCAGTCTTTCCATTGAGTAAATAAACAAACATACACAAACGCTTTGTAGTTCTTTCATGAACTCACATTGCAGAGCAAAATATTATGCCAAGTTAACAACACACAGTGTATTAAAACACACCTGAGGGGTTACCCCATCCAACTCAGTGTCAGAATCAGCCTCATATTCAGCTGTAGGTACTGAGCATTTCAGACCATATTCCTCTAATTCTCTTGCAAGCTCCACAGCAAGGACTGCAAAACCAGAGAAAACATCTTGGATATAATAGGAGTGTAGGTTACGCTCATGTCAAGACTTTAAAATGGGATTATCATAGCAGAATATGTTCTATATTGCACATATATGAAGGTGCCAAAGGGTTTACATTTGATGCATAATTAAGCTTAAAATTAATACTTGATGCATGAATTTTTCAAAAAGGCAAGGTAAGGTTAGATTTCAAATTTTCCTTTATATATTTGTGACACATGAAATACTGTTTAAAATAAATGTGACAGGTGAATTTTTTCTAAAATTTTTATGTAAAATGGAATCAGGGACCCCTCTTTCTCTCCTTCTTTTGGTATCCTCATGTATGTACATGTATAGTCATACAGTACAACTACATGACGTGTGGAATTCAACTCTGTCAGGCTTCAGGTAATGAACTAAAGTAAAAGTTTACGTCAGCATTTTGTGGCATGCACATTTCAAATAAATCATATCTCCATCTCCATGGGCAACACAAGCCCAGATTTTGGTATCAACCTCTACAATTCCCAAATCGTTTATTTGTTGTTCAACTACCCCCTTATGCATGCTTAGGGGCAAAACTCACATGTGAAGTGGCCATTCTAATCTCTTGAAATCTGTTGGTGCCTGCTTTGATAAGCACTTACCTTTTGCCCTCACAAACACTAAAGCTCTTTTGGGTTTGTACTTTAGTAACACATGGGCAACACATTTTCCTCCTTGTGTTACAGAGAATGGCATTGCCTGCAGCAAATGATATATATTTTAACAATACAAAGCTAAATGAAGAATCAAATTAATTAATGAACAAGCTTTGATCACACTGCACATACACCAGTAAGTTATAAGGCATTTTCACTCTATAACAGCTCAAAAGTTTCCTGATTACAGTGGAAAAGAGATTAAGTGTTTTTCATCCACTTTATATCAGAAAAATTTGAAAATGCATCAATGAGAGCGTAATGACTGATTACTTTCTTAACTGTTATAAAAACTTAATAAGCTTAACTGAAAGGATAAAACTGCATGATAGTATTTTTACCAATTGTAAAAGTGCTCCAGAGAAGGTCCATTATCTGTGGCCATTTTTTCCAGATTAGAATGGTAAGGCTACTAGCAATTGTAAAAATTAAGTTTTGCTTTGAAATTTTTACCAGGGTAGAGTGGAAAAGGCCAACCTAACTAATTTACTTAATAAATAATTAAATAGGAAACAATTAAATAGTGTGAATACATATTAAGTAAACAGCAGCCCAAATGACACTAGCACTTAAAATCACTTCTCTCTAATTTGGTCCATTTTTGCATGCTCTGTTTGAAAATAACAAAGTCACTTCTGTATTCACTGTAACTCACGTGAAGTGGTTGGTATTTTGTTGATTTTTCTATTTCCGCACTGCAAACCAATGAGAACAATAGCTCAGGTATCATACATGATGTTATAATTTCTGTGATTCTTCACTGAACTGGTCAACTGAAAGAAGTTTCACATGGTTATCTAGATAGACTATGAGCAGTCCCCCCTTTATCAGTGAAGTCCATTGTGCAATTTGAACAAGGGACTATGGACTGAGTCCAAGAGTTTAAATTCTGTGTTGCGCTCATAGTGCAAAAATATTGTTGGCTATGGGCTGGAAATCTGTCAACAAGAAGTCATGCATGTCAATGCTTGTCAGCGTTTCAGATTAATCATGGCTGATGACCTGCAATTTGTTGACTAAAACCAGAGCAGACTGAGGCACTTCAGTGAAGCTCTTATCACTGGAAAAAAGGTTCTCACAATTTTGCTAACTGGCTTTGGAAAGAACCCCATCTGCTAGGTGTTTTGTTTCACAAAAATCTTGTCAATTGATTTCTTTTCACTAATTTTTTCCATATTCACCGAAAAGGAGGGAATACTTGTAGTCTAGGTTATCTAACACAGGATGAGCAACAAACATGAAATTACAATAAAAATGACATCACCACATCCACCCGAGTATTTGGCATCCAAAGGAAATATTTTGATATTGCATAAATATGGATTTCTTATAACATAATTTGTCAAAACAGTATACATGAAAACAACTATTCAAACCTTTTGGCAGTAACCACCTGAGTTGGTATGGCAACACTTGATGGACTAGACAGCTTTCTGAGTTTTACACATGAAGCACACAGGCTCAGCTTGGTAACATTTGATTTTCTCATGGACTTTCTCAGGGCTGCTGTAGAGTGAAATGATTCCACACCGTGTAAAAAATAGAAATAAAGAACCAAATATAATTTATGTAGAATTAAACATTGTACAGACAAAGAAATGAGGTTATTGTGAAGAACAACTCACTGTAGAAACCTTTTAGCTGTCATGTGACCAGCTTTTGGTGTTAACTTATTTTAAAAGTGATCCAACCAATGCAGATTGCGTTCAACTTTTAAAATCGTATACAAAGTATACAGTCCAAGTTTTAGTTTTATGTGAACTGCGCAGAATGATCATAGCAATAATGAACACTACTTCAGCCGGTGGAGCACTGCACTGGTATTGCAGAGGTTACAGGTTCAACTCCCGTACAGGCCTGAAATTTTCAGGCTTTAATTTCACTACTGCTTAAGGGGTGTTCATTACTACTAAGATCACTCTCGTATTCAATAATAATAGTAGTAATAACTGTTTTTTATTCCAGGCCGGTCCTTAACCAGAGTTAACCAGAGCATTTTGAAATTACCTGTATGAGCAGCTGTTGCTGTTCTGAGAAGTCGAGTCCCAGACCATGTTCTACCGTAAGAAGAACGAATTACCCTTAAAAGCACAACATCCGCCATCTTGGATCTGTGTATAACCACAAGGGTTGATGGGAGATCTTCATCTTTCCCTACCCCACACCTAAGGGGATATGAATGTTTTTTCCTTCCAGGGAGGGGAAGGGATATTTTGGAGCGTTAAACTAAAATTTTAATAAAGACGACGAGGCTGAGCTCCATAAAAGCGATTGTACATCTGCTACGATTTAAAAAATAAACTAGCTTTCTGTTGTTACACAGTGGGCATTTCCAGAGTAAACTTCGATCGGCAAAGAAAATCAGCGACGTGCATACAATGTTTTTGGCAACGCAACGCATACAAACACGGTCGTCAATCAGTGACGTCGACAATAATCAGCGTGACCTCACAGCAGTGATTGCAAACATTTTACCGATCGAATGACTTACTTGGAACTACTCGAGATCGAGAGCCTTGGAAAACTACTTTAGTGCTAATTTACAAACTGGATGTCATTTTAGTGTGAAAACAAGGGCCTTGTCGGCTGAATGATAAATTTGCACGGGGTATCTTCGTAGCCAAGGAGACAATTTGTGAGACACTTGTCTTCGCTAAAGATGGCCGAGAACGTACGGGTTGCTGTGAGGGTTCGACCATTTATATCCTTTTTATCGTATATATTGTAATGCAGGATTGTTGTCATAATCCGTCTACCTATGCTTCGGCAAATATTGGCCTCCGATTCTAAATATATGTGTCTGCTTTTGTGATTTGTTGTTTGCAGTTCACCGATCAATCGAGATGTCTTCGTACTGTAGGGCATCTCTTATTAAGTAATTACCTAGAGGATAGCAGGTGGTAGACCGTTTCCAATAAATCGTCAATTGAGTTTTCTCTTTAGTGGAGAATATCATTGTCATACATTTCCTATTTCAGATTTATTTTATCTCAGTAAACAGCTGACTTAATAAAGTGCATTAGATATTGGGCTCACCTAAGCCCGAAAATTTGCATTCAAAACAGTCATCAATTGTGTAATTGCTTTTGAATGCTACTTTATGAAGAGTGACAGCTCACGAAGTCCAAACAACTCTAAATGAAAAAGTTTGTAGACTTGATAAACACGCAGAACTTTTAGTCAAACATGCATTTATGAATGGTTCTCAATTTAAACAATGTTCATGTAGATTACACTGTTGTTTAATTCATGTCTCATGAAGCAGCTTGTAAGAGACGGGTCATGAGGCATTTTCATGGTCGTGAATGGCAATGCAAATAGCCACTCTAATTACCTAGAGGATTAATTTAAGTTGTTCTGTCTCTAGAGTTGAGTTTTGTCTCAAGTTATTCTTTCATTTCATTCTTTTTTTTTTTACTTTTTTTTTTTTATTTTTGATTTTTTTATCTGTCTACTCGACTGGTTTGTTTTGTTTTGTTTTCGTTTCCTTTTTTTTTCGCTCTGCTCTTTGTCGCAGTTTTTTTAGTCTTTTTCATTTGGCTTAGTTTGTTTAGTTTTGTACTGAAGGCTGCATGAAGAAGAAGGAGTGGAGAGGGGGGAGGGGAGAGGTGACAAACCAAAGCTGCAGCATGAACCCTTACTTCAGAAGGCTTGTGGATATTTTATGTGACACAACAGCACTATCCCCTTTCTAATTGTAACATGACTGAATTACACAAGTGTTGCACACATGAAGTCAGGTTAAACGTCCTTGACAGTTTGCACAATTCTCGCGAGAAAGCTCGCGCAGCTGTATTAATTATCAAGATGCAGGGTAACAATACCTACATTGCAGATCCTGGAGCTCCAGGGGAGGAACCAAGAAAGTTTGCCTTTGATTTTAGTTACTGGTCACATGATGGGTTCAAAGAGCTTGATGACGGGTATCTTGCATCTGCTGAACCTCAATACGCAGATCAGGTGTGGCAATTGGCTCATTTGTTACTGTGATTTATCACAGCTTGTCAGTTGGCTCAATTAGTTTAGTCACAATAGAAACCAGGCCAGTCTTTTTTTTTTTAAATGAGACTTTAAAAATTTTTAGCCAAATCTTTTCATGTTGGTTTTTTACTATTACCATAGACAATATAATGCATGCAAATATTTCTATGTTTATAATCGCAATCATTTGTGATTACATTTTTTATGAATTTTTTTTATTCCTCGCATTTTGGTGTATTCTTACATGTATCTTATCCAATTGTTATCTAAAGAGGCTTTGTATCAGCTAAAGATAAGTAATCTATTAGTTCCCCCAACACTCTTGAGATTCCTGTTGGCCTGCGCTGTATTAAAAAGTGTGATATCCTTTCATTTCGAAGAAGAAACACATATTGCCAGTTTAAAAGTGATGGAATAATTGAACTATGCTTGGCTTCTTTTTTTATGCCAATAGAACAAAGCAAAACTTCATTTACCTAGTAATTTTTATTTTGTGACAGTTTTGATTTTGTAAATGTTAGTTGTTATTTTACTTTGTTTTGTTAATTGTGTGTTTTAATTACCGTATAGAAACGTGTCTTTGATGACTTGGGACGAGGAGTCCTCGAAAATGCATGGAATGGATATAACTGCTCGCTGTTTGCATATGGTCAGACTGGGTCAGGGAAATCTTACTCCATGGTTGGCTATGGGCAGAATAAGGGTAAATATAGGAAAATGTTTGTGAAATGGTGATTAATTTAGCTTTTTTGATTTTTTTGTAGTGAGGTTATAGTTGTACATGAGTTATATGCGACATATGGCATAAACTTTGTCAAATTTTTGCTATATTGTACACAGGTATTGTTCCAATATTTTGTGAGACATTGTTCAGTGAAGTTGAACAAAAGAGGAGTGCAGGGTCAGAAACAGAATACCAGGTATTTTAAGCGACTTATGATTTACAACAATTTTATACATGGTGACTGTATCTGCAATCAACTTCCTCTTGTCAAATGGTTCTTGTCTGGTGATCCTGACATACAGTTACCACTGAAATATTAGTTGAAAATCTGACTTAAATGCTGTTTCCCAATCTTGGAAAGTTTGGAGAATCATTTAAATTAAAGAACCTCAAATTTCTGGAAACTGACAAGTAAGGCCTTGACAGTACCTTGAGGGTTTTTGAGTGTCAAGGACTGAGAATCAATAATTAAGTTTTGAAAAATTGTTTACTGTCGTGGTCTTTTTGCTTGTCATATCTTGGGGTTTTGTACATGGCTAACATTGCCATTTTTGCATATACTGCACAAATTAGTTGCTCAATAAAGCTTTAATCAGTTAAGAGTGAGTAAGTCACACTGTATGTGTTAGATTCATGTGTCAGGAAGATTCACTGGAGCCATGCCATCAGGGGGAGGGTGTCGTGTGTCAGGAGGGTTCACTGGTGCCATGCCATAATAGGAGGAGGGGGGGGGGTGAGGTCTTTGATATTCTTTGGCTAACAACTTTAATTTGTTTGCTCTGCAATACCAGGTTATTGACATTTACAATTTAGATTAAGTTTGAAAATTTCAATTCATTTTCCATTCCAGGTTACATTTAGCATGCTTGAAATCTACAATGAAGCGGTAAGTTACATCTACATCTTTTTTACATCCATTTTAAAATTGCTGGTAATCCTAGCAATCTGATTGGTTTCCGTAGGTGTAACTTGTTCAGGAATTGCCCAACTTTTTGCTCTAAGCGATGCCTTGCCTAAAAAATGTACCAGCAGGGAGAGAAAATAAAGAACATTACAGATAAATCTTAAAGGAACTTCACCTCATATTAAATTACAAAGGGAAATCAATGCAGAAAGACATTTCTATCATAGTTTAACTACTAATTAAAACTACTTTGAAGAAATTTATTGACAGGTGCATGTGTCACGCACATGCAGCAGACGCATTGACAATATTTTAAGTGTGAAGTAGACCTACTTTCAGCTACCAAATCGAAGTAACTGTGCTCTAATGGCCGTTCATGAGGTTTTAATACATCTTCGTCGTTTTATTTCGTCACATGCAGGTCCGTGATCTACTGAACCCAGCGGGTAACAAGAAAGGAGGACTAAAAGTGCGTCAGCACCCTTCCAAAGGCTTCTACGGTATTAAAAAAAAAACCAGCCTCCTTATCTAATTACAATGGTCTCAGCAATTTTAATTAGACAAAGGCCTAACGTTAGTATGGTTATGTAATCTTGAATCTTCACTTAACTTGCCCTGGGTGCAAAAAATCTGGGGACATATTGAATTGCGTACGATGATGCATGTGTTAGCATGTTCGGTGAGTATTTTGCCCATATCCGCACATACTCCTAGCAAGAACATTTGACCTCATTTTGCCAACACTTTCACTACAGTACAGTATTAGTTTTTGTGCACCTTAAGCTCTTAACTTTTTGACTCATTCAGGTCACCTCTGCAATGTCAATGTCTGTGACAATTCTGTAACATTCTCCCTTTTTGTTTCACTCAGTGGAGAGTTTAGTGAGTGTTCCAGTCAAGGATTACCCTGATATTGAAAGTCGAATTGAGGAGGGAACAAGGAACAGGACGGTGGCCGCTACTAATATGAATGCGACAAGCAGGTAAGTGAGAATTTGTGCTGAATACGAAAAAACGGTGTAAATTGGCAGCGCAAATAGAAAAACGGTGGATTCTGAGATTTTAACTCATCTTAAGTTATAAATCTGACGTTTCGAGCGTTAGCCTTTCGTCAGAGCGAATGGAAAAAAGCTAACGCTCTGACGAAGGGCTAACGCTTGAAACGTCAGGTTTGAAACTCTTTACGGTGGCCAATTTACGTTACCAACTCAGGTGATAATACTAAATTACCCTGTTATACTCTCCCACTGACACGGCATAACAGTTTCTTTAGAAAGTTACCCTCTATATTCGCTAAGTTATAAATATCTATCATTATTCTTTAGAAAATTGATAGCTTCCTTCTATTTCTATTAACTCGATAACCTATTGGAAGAGTAGTTGATGAGAAGAATTGAGAGGTACAATGTAGTCTTGCCAATGTCACTCAATGCACCCAGACCTTTCTCACTTGAAGTGTATTCATTTATTCTTGAATAAACCATAGAGCCGGATAATTTAAGGATAGTTAATGCGTTTTTTCCATTATCTCTTCAATAAATACGTTTTTTTAATGTAATTTTATCTGGTAGCCGTGCCCACACAATCGTCGCCATAAGCTTTAGTCAAAAGGGGGCAAACGCAGCCGGACAAATGATGACTAAAACGTCCATTGTGAACCTGGTGGACCTCGCTGGAAGGTTAGCTTTATGATTCCCTTCAGAGTAATTTTCAGTTGGGTGTCGAAAGTAATCTGGGATTGCTTTGTCTTTGCTCATTTTCGCTCTCTGATTGGTTAAAAAATTAGCGCAACTCTCTCTCAACCAATCAGATGCAAAATTAAAACCAATCACGACTTGGTTGCCCGCGTTTTCCCGCGCTTTATATGGTTTGGTTGGTTTTACTTTGAGTTCTCATTGGCTGTTTAGGGTACTTTCCTTTCGTCTAATTGGTCGTTGTGATTACTTTGGTTTGGGATTTAAGACACTCAATCGAAAAGCGCTTTATACGTCAACTAGAATTGAAGTGTTTTAGTAGCTTTGTTGCGAGGTACAGACTTAGAATTATGACGTTGACGTCGATTTTTAGCTTACGAAGTTGGGCAAGTAGAAGGCTACGGGAGATTTCACAATGTGTCTGGGTTATACTGCGACCTTACAGAACTAGAGGAGGGTAATAACGAGGCAATTTGCATAGCAGCGCCTCACTGGTTATGATTAGTGATTGTCAGTAAAGTTTGGAAGACCAGTTTACCGTTGCCTCTCCCTTCTGCAACAATCATACAGAAATTTTGATCCGACGAAGGGCTAACGTTTGAAACGGCAGCTTGGCAACTCTTTAGGGTGTCCAATTTACGTTATCAGCTCAGTTGATAATACTAAATTACCCTGTTATACTCTCGCCACCACTTACCCCCTTTATTCATTCGTACCAGTGTGGCATCTTTTCATTTTTAGCGAGAGAGCAGATTCCACCGGAGCTACTGGGGACAGGTTAAAAGAGGGATCTGCCATTAACAAATCCCTTTCCACATTGGGCAACTGTATTAAAGGTACGCGTCTACACATTTGTATAATCTTGTATCTCTTTTCTTGACACCTGTATCGTGCACGATTTTAGCTTGATCTTCTCTATACTTCACTCGGCAATTTCTCGATCCTTCTACAGATGGCAAGTGCGTTTTTTTTTTAAATTTATTTACCGTAATGTCTTTTGTATCAGTATCTAAAACGTACTGTACGTTGATCTTTAGCGCTGGCGGATCAAGCATCTGGGAAAAAAGGCGCGCAAGGTGAGTCGCTCAAATGACCAACGAAAGACGTAAAACCAGAGGATAATATACAGTTGAACAAACACCTCAATTTAAATAAATCACTTATGGTTGTTTTTTCTATTGTGACAGTTCATTTTCGCACTTTGTTTGATGACATGTATTCAACTTTTTGCGCTAACCCTTAATCAGTGAAGTAAACTAAGATTGTGATGTTGTCTTTGTCTGTGCCTTTCTTTGCTTTTCAAAAAGCCAGCCCCAATCTAAGCCAAACTGACATTTATTCTTAAACCCTCTGACCCTTACGAGTGACTTGCATTTAATGTCTTTGTTTTACATTATCACCCTTGAATTACACTTTAAGGTCACAAGAATCAAGGAAATGATCATAAACTAAGAATATCTTGATTGCTCAACAGATTCTCGTAGTCAGCACCTTAGAAAATGTATATGAGAACAGTATGGAGAATATGCATACTAATATTAGAGTGTAAAGGGTTGACCAACCGATGACTGACTTTTCCTACTTTTTTAGTTCCATTCCGTGATTCTGTGCTTACTAAGCTGCTTAAAAATGCCTTGGGAGGCAACAGCAAGACAATCATGGTATGTTGAAAATACCCATATCTACAAGACAAGATACAAAAAAATTTTATCACATAAACTGCGGTATCATACAGAGATTTCCGGCTCTGAGAAAAGTCGTAACAACACACGTAAAAAAATATCGTATTTTCTCACGTGTGTTGATATAACCAATCAGCTGCTGACACGTCACTCGCCTCTCGCGTCACTCGGTCAGGCTGATGAATGAACGGCAAAGCCTTCACGATTCTCAGTACAAGTTTTTTGTCGGAAGTTTCTTGAATTATGGCGGCTAAAGTACTAAAAAGTCCGTATCGCTGACAGACGGTGAGGTTCAAACTTTCCTAGAAGGGGAAGAAAACCAATATTCTAAAAGGAAAACCGAAAGTTACTTATTCAGTGGCTTTGGTGTTAGAATTTCTCTCGGCTGAGAATGAAAATCGACAACTGGTGGATTTGCCACTGGCCGATTTTGGCCGTTTACCTGAAAGACTTCTTCTATCGGTAAGGATAATGAATGAGAGTTTTGTAAACAGAAAATTACGACAATTGTTGTTTTTATAATCATGATCCAATGCATTTTTCTATCTTAAGAGCCAATGCACTCTACGGTTGTTATTCGGAGATTGTCGATTCATTTGTTTTCATTCATTAATGAAGTCGGCTTTTCTTCTCTGTAAGAGCTGTTGTGTTTATATGATAAACAAAATAATACATGGTTGCTTTTAGATATGGAATTTCTCTTCTCGTGTTCAACTCCACATCTCACTCCTGAGCTATCGAGTTAAATACTCGGAGAGAAATTCCATATCTACGCGCGCCAATGTATCATCCTCTATATAATAAGTGCAAATGCCTCTTGATATATTTTGTTTTGTTTCGTCTTTGTAGTCGCTTTCTTCGCTTTCGTCGTTCTTGAAAGACTTATTTCTTTCAACATTTTAACTTTAATGTCAATTGTTCAAAGTTAGCATTGTTTTTGCCGTCGTCATTATAACCAAAAAGAGGAAAAAAATGATCAGAATCAAGATGCGGAGAGCGGAGAGGAGAGAATGAGGGGACAGAGAGGGGAATTTGGGATGTTGCCTGGGGTATATGTCGCCTCCAAGGAAGTTATTTCTGGGTGTCTAAGGGAGTGAAGTCTGTTTCCTCAGACATCCACTCTACGAATTTTAACTTTTTATCTTTCGAGTCAGTTTTCATGGGAAATCTTTAGGTGGTCCGACGTTATGAGTGTTCTTTCACTCAAGTGCAGGAATCGATAGTAGCCTTAATGCGGACAACTCAGAAAGCTGACATCCGTTTGATAAACTGATATATCCCTTGGCCTGGAATTGGAGCCTCTTACTCTGTCCCTCGTTTTCTCTTGACAGAATCCAGGATCAGGATGACAAAGATAATAATAATAAGTATGAAGAAAAGGATAATATTATTTCCAGATATTTATTATTTTTATGTGTACAGATTGCAGCTTTGAGTCCGGCCGATATAAACTATGAAGAAACGTTGTCTACTCTACGATTTGGTGAGCTGTTGTTCTTTGTGTCTTCTTATCGTTTTCCTTCCTTTTCCTATTAAACGCATTGAAATCGGAACGATATTTTGGTGAAGTAAATTGGCCATCGTAAACAGTTTCTAAAGAAGACATTTCGACCGTTAGCTCGTTAGTTATTCGCTCTGACGAAGGGCTAACGCTCGAAACGTCAGCTCGAGAAACTCTTTGCGGAGGCTAATATATATCAACGACTCAATTGCTGAAACGAGATTACCTTGTAATACTCTCTACCGACCCAGCACCACAATGTGTTTAGAAATTTATTCCCCTTAATTATTTCGTCTCCTTCACTTGGTCAAGTTTTTTTTAAGAGATCTAAGAATATATTTGTGCCATCTCGTGCTCTAAGAGTGAAAAAACCTTTGAGTTTGGATCAACTCGTGTCTTGGACACGTTAGGATCACTTAATTTTTTGCCGCATTATTGATCAACAATCCTAAGCCCTTCAAATGTTTCGCTGGAAAAATCTAGGCCTTTCAAAGCTATTCAGCCTTTTTTTTTCCTTGGTGCTTCTTATCTTTCTGTGCATGATACCCAAATTTTGCAATATTGTTTTACTTGAATTTTCCCTTCCACAAGTTTAACACTATTAGAAGTTTGTAATTTTGTGGAAGCTAACGAATTATAGACGCTTTTGTCGCCGTAGAAGTCAAACTGATAACTTAACATTTTCTCTTTTAGCCGACCGTGCCAAGGCCATTAAAACTAAAGCTGTTATTAATGAAAGTCCAACTGAAAAACTGATTCGTGAATTGCGTGAAGAAAACCAGAGACTACTGGAACAGCTAAAGCAAGGTGGCGGGGCAATGGTAATCCAAGGAGAACCTGGCCAACCACAGACGGTTGGAGTTTCTGAAGAAGGTTTCATAACTTGTTTTTCTGTGAATTTGAAGCCTTTTATGTACACTCGATTGCAACAACGTTGTTACCTAAAAAAAGCTAGCCATGAACGACGAGACCCACCGCCTTTATTGGTACACAAGTACAGGATAAGCACAATTAGTTGCACGTGGTAAATGAGAAAAGCTTTTCACGCTTTCATGAAAGAAGAGAATTGTCATAACAAAGACTTGCCATGAATGATGGAAAAAATAAAGCTGATTATGTTACTGCGCGAACATTTCCCATAACGCCCTTGGGTTTTATCTTTCATGGATCAGGTTTTGTCGGTGTCGACGTTTTTACAATTATGCGTGTCATAACATGTTTAAAGTACTACTTCTTTTGAATTAGCCAAATTAGACAGTTTTGGTGTAAATTCGAATCGCGCGCTGTAAATGTGTATTCTGTACTAAATAAAAAAACCAACATTGATTGAGTTTAATTTTGATTTTCAGAGGTGAATGAAATGAAAAAACAAATGGAAGAGCAGGTATGAGAACCTCTTTCAGGTGTTTGTTAAAGGAGAATTAGGATGCTCATAATTTTATTGTCATAAATTCTGAACATGTAGCTACCGCTTCTTGATCTCTTTAATAAAATAGAGATGACGAAAGAATCTGATAATAATTATTAATAAGCAAACAAATGGACTAACTTACTTTCAAGTTAAGTTTAACGATCAAGTAGAACATAATAGTGACACCAATGTTGAGCCTTCAGCTTCAGATAACGATACAATGCACCCCTAAATATAGGGCATCTCGTATTAAAAGAGGGTAAGTTTCTAAAGAAAATCTGGTGGTGCGTCGGTGGGAGAGTATAACAGGGTATTTTAGTCTTATCAACTGAGTTGATTACGTAAATTGGCCACCGTAAAGAATTTAAAAACTGACGTTTCGAGCGTTAGCCCCTTCGTCGCTCTGACCCCACCCCCTCCACCCCCGGGTGATGAATAGTGACTGACCCACAAAATAATAACTAGTACACCGTACCTTTGAGTGAGAATTATTTTGTTTACGTAAATGTTGCAGCTCTTACAAAATCAGCGGGAGATGGAGGAGATGAAAAAGTCTTGGCAAGAAAGATTGGCTGAGCAGGAATCAGCAAATAAGGTGAGGCTAAAACGCTTCCCCTGGCTTCCTTCCCCTTGTGCGATGAGATGCCTTGATGCCCTTTGTGTACTGTACATCCATTTAAGTCCTTGTGTTTCAGCCAAAAAGTCTGAAATGCCTGGCGTGAAGTTCGCTTTGAGTGATACGTACAACTCTTTACGCCTGCTTCGCAGTCTTAACTGCCTGGCATGAAGTTCGCTTTGAGTGACACGTGCAGCTCTTTACGCCTGCTTCGCAGGCCATACGTTTGATTTTTGATTTGATTGTGGGCTCAAAATACTGTACATTTTATGGCATTCTTCAAGAAAGTGCACTGATGATTTGTTCATTAAACGTGTTATAACTGTATCTCTAAAATGAGCTATGTTTAATTAGTGTGCAATTAGTGCCACAATTATTTTTGCTGCTTGTTTGATCTTAGAAAAAAACACTCCTTGATGATTTTAGGTCTCTAAGTCTTTTTTACTCGTTATTCATCTTAAAGGAAACCGTATTGGGTGGATATTCTTTAACAGGCTTTGGGTTTATTTCGTTGTTGTGGGACTTTCTTTTCACCAGGCTAACGGTACCTAAGTGGTGTTACATTATTTTTTAGGCCAAAGAGGAAAAAGAAAAGAAAGAAAAAGAGCTTCGTAAAACCACTCCGCACCTTTGGAATCTTAATGAGGACTCGCAACTTTCAGGAAAAATTTTCCATTTTATCAAACCAGGTAAGTTTCTTTGCGAGTTAGCCAACATTTAATCTCATATCTTAAAGAAAAGTAAGCTCACTTTGTGTCTTGCGCAAAATTACAAAGTACACTTTTTCAACAGTAACTGCCATTGCTCGATTATTGGTTTCTTTTCATTTTTTAACATTTTGACCCCTAAGAGTGACTAACGTCCAATTTCCCCTTACAATGTCACCCCTGAAGTACACATGAAGGTCACAAGAACAAAGGAAATGATCACCAACTAGAGAAGCTCTTGTTAGTGATGTAAACTCTCCTCGTGAGCAACGTAGGAAATGAATCGAGGACAGTAAGGAGAATATGCGTACTGATGCGGTGTAAATCCTGCTTTGTTGGCTCTATATGAAGATATTGCCCAAATCTAATGAAACCCGTGGCCAACATTGGCTTATGGTTCGTTTTATTTTTCATCGCAGGCGAGCAGAAAATTGGAAACAAAAGAGCTGATCCCCAACCGGATATTTTATTAAGCGGTTTGAGGTAAGACGCAGAAAATAACAAAGATCGCGCGCTTTCTGTTAGTTGTCGTGACGTGAGGCTCGTTTATGACAAGTAGATGACACGGAATTGTCACCAAGAAGTCCAAAAGGAGTTAACTCCGCGCAAATTTTTTTCTTTCCTACTTATTCCTCGATTTTAACGAGCGGCTTCGTTTTCTGGCTGGTGATCCACTTAGGATATATCTACAGACTCAAAGGTAGAATCCTGCTTATGAGGTCACGAGGAAATATCATACACGCTGAATGTTTTCTTTGTAGTTGAATAAAATAGTCACACATGTTTATTTTCAAAATCAATTCCGATGTCGATGTTGGTCCCTTTTAAAGCTTTAGTATCGATTTCACTTGTAGGAAAGTAGACAAAATATGACGAACGTGTCAGTGAAGAGTGAAAAGTGAAAATGTTGTAAGTTGGTGCGAAGGAAATGACATATTGCATACACTTAATTCAACATTTCCCTCCAGACTCTTCTGCTCTTAGCGAGAATCAGAATGTTAAGGTTGTTTGTTGATAATATCGAAAGTGAGCCTTAGTCGTCTCCGCAGCTATTGCTAAGAAACAGCTTTCCTCTTTGTTTGTCCATAGCATTCTTAAAGAGCACGCCAAATTGACATATAAAGGAAACACAATAACAATACTGGCCAATCCCGATGCTAAACTGATGGTTAATGGTAAACCAACGCACGACGAGATAGAACTTCACCACAATGACAGGTAGAGCTATGGTTGAACTGTTCCGCACATGTCGCGCTATTCTAAAGAATTTATTTTTCACTTTTGAACCACGGTGGAATGCCATATCTCGCGAAGAATTCGTATCTTCAATCTTGTTCTTTCTCAAGATATTTTCAGTCTTATTTTGATTTCTATTCAGTGTCAACGTGTTTGTTTATTCGTCTGCTGGTTTTTCATTTGTCTGTCCCTCCTTCTCGACTTGCCCTTTTTCCGTCACAAGCCGTGCAGTCAGTTAGCAATTCATACTTGTAGGTCACATTTTGGGTCTGTTTCCGTGTTTTCTTTGTTTGTTTGTATTGTCGTTGTCAGTCAGTCAATCAGACACACAGTCCATAAATTCATTCGTCAAATTGTTAAGCCCTCTGTCTGTTTGTCTATTTTTTTGTTTGTTTTCGCAATATTGTTGGTTTGCTTGCTTGCTATTCACTTGGTTTGTAAAATTTTAGTGACCTTGTATAAATAAACTGATATTAAATCGACGAATGTTCAACAGCAATTTAAAAAATTTAAGCACAATCGTGGTGAAAATAGAATTAACTTGACAGAATGCCCTTATTATAACAAAAATTATATTCTGGACGACTCGGGACTAGCTTAGCTGTGAAATTCAAGGTGTTCTAGAGGTTTATGTTCTCTTTTAGAGTGATGTTTGGCTCTGCAAGTTTGTTCGTACTGCATCACCCAGTTGAATTTGACAAGAAAAAGAACGCGGGAGACACGATAGAAGAAGTAACTTACGATTTGGCACAGGAAGAAATAGCCGCGAATTCTGGATTTAATATGGGGAAGAACAGTGGCCAGACCAAGAGTATGTCGTCAATTTAGTCACTTATGCTTGGTTTCCCTTTAGAGAAATTTAAATTGAGGATTGCTTTAATTGTGCTTAACTTTGCTCTGTGATCGGTCCAGAAAACTCATGCCATCCTCTCAATCAATCAAATGCAAAATAAAAAACAATTACGACTGATCTCCCGCGTTTTCCCGCGCTTTAGGCAGTTTGCTTGTGTTCAATTAGACATCTCCTTTTCCAATTAAAATGTAAACCTTTCCCTTGATTAGTTGTTGGAATTACTTTGGATTTACTTTTGTAACACTAATGGAAAACGGCTCTAATTGCCAGGATCGTCTCAATCTCCCAGATCTTCTCAAAAAATAAATTTAAAAACAACTGCAACCATTAAAGAATATGCAAACACTTCATAGGCAAGTCACTCTCTAAAGACCTGGGTGATTGGAACGGTTACGGCCAGCGAGATAGATCTCTGTTTCCTCCCTCTCTTTCTCCTTCTCTTTCTTTTTGAGATGGAGGATGATCTCATTACATTCCTTTCAAGATTTGAAGTAGCTGCCATTATAGTCTAGTCGTCTCTAAAAATCAGGAATTATTTGATAACTTTCGCGCTTAAGAGCTTATTCACAGACGTATGATCAAGTGTGGAGTTCTAAGATCCCAAAAGGGAACTCGAAAAGATCAAGCTAAATATTTCAAGACACCGTGAGTAGCTGCTTGAAGGTTTTCTTGAAATCTGAACAATGTCAGCAAAAAAGCCTTTCTTTAATATCGTTTTGAGACAGAAAGATTATGTTTGTTTCTTCGAAATCGTAGTCTAATATGAGCTGATGGTTTTTGCAGATGAACTGCTGTTGCAGGAAGACCTGGTACAGATGGTTCCTATGGTTAACGAGTCCAATGCAATGGCAGAAGAACTGAAGAAACCGGTAATATTTATTATTAAAATTGTTGAATAAATAATCGCGTAAGTAACAAAAAAATTGCACGTGTTATTTCTCAGTCGTCTGATCATCTCAATCTTGCTGGTAACAAGAATTCGTGGAAAAGAAAAGATGACTGGAAGAGAGGTCCCACAAATTTCCCGTCGTCAGAGCCGTTTTAAAGAAGATGAACATGTTTCCTAGATGACGAATATGTAACATTGCAACAAGGCAAATTGTAACTCACAAAAAGTACGCTCAAAATAATTGACTTGAATCAAACTCATGACTTAAGAATACCTTGTGTTTTTCAAGTCTTTGATGGATATAAAGAATAGCCAGCCCTCTTGCAAGTCCTCTTGATTCTTAGTTAAACAAAAATGTAAATGCAGGATACGAACAAAGATTGGTTGTTGTTGTTAGTGACTTGTGTACTGATGTGGCATCCCAAACACCATACGTGCTTCAGAAGGCAATCTTCATTATCTTAAAGTACTTTTAATCATCATTTCTTGCAGGTTAGGTTTGAAATTCTCTTAGTTTCACCCCAAGCACGTGGTCTCAAGGAAGGAAGAACAGAGGTAAGGCACCAGTCACTATTTATTTTTTTATCGCTGGGGAGTGGGGGCTTTGTAATATTCTTATTACTCCTCCCCCCCTTTATCTGCAGTTGATTGACAGTCAATTTCCTTCAATCCCTCCTTTGTCCTCTGTTGGTGATGTCAGTTGCCCGCACCTTTACTTGAAAGGCAACGAAGACTATAATCGTTGGGAAAAAATAATCCTTTTGGCAAAAAAAAAAAAAAAAAAAAAAGAAAGAAACAGCCATGGTTCAAGTTGCTGTTATTATCAAAATTTCAGGTCATACACTTTCAATCATTGTGGCTTTGAGGATTTTCCCAGCATTTAACCCTTTCGCTCCCAGATCTCATAAGTAATTCTCCTTATTGTCTACTGAATCTAGTGAATTTTGTATTGGATCATCTAAAAATTGCCCAAAAGATATTTCTCTTTATTATCACTTGTCTTCTTGACATCGTATTGAATTTGTAAGGAGAAACTCTGTCTTGGTCACCCTCCGGAATTAAAGGGTTGAGGGCATACCATACATCTCGAAGTAAGATCTACCTTAACAATATTTTTTAAGATTTCTAGACATAGGATGCGTTAACCAAACATGTTTTCTTTGTTTGATTCTTCACTTCACTTCCCTTTACTTTTTTCGTAGTATTGTTTTATTAAAAGAAATAAGCAAAACAATAGGAAATCTCCAAACGAAGAGAAAACAAACTAGAAAAGCAAAATAGAAACAATTTTTTAATTTGGAGAGTCAGTCTTTAGAACTTCAAAGTTTACTAACACTTTTTTTCGTCATAACTTAACTGGACCTTGATGTCGCCCTTTCGCAGGTCAAAGTGAAAATGAAAAGCACAGTAGATGATGCGGAATGGATTTGGGACAGAAACAAGTTCGTCAACAGAACGTACCTAATGAAAGAAATGTTCCAGAATTATTACGATGGAGAAGAAGACTGGGATTTGCCGGAGGTCTTTGCGTCTTCAATTGTTTCTTCTCCTCTACTCGAGAACTAAAAGAAAGTTTATTGAGTGACTACAACAACAAAAACATTTTTTTCATCATTCAAATGAATTTATGAAATGAATGAAACACCAACAAAATCTAGGCAATGAGTATAGAGTAAGTGGTAGGTCGAATGGCAGTTAAGAAATAGAAAGAAACGCCATTACACAGTATATATAAGAACATTTTATGGCTAGTTTGATATCCTTTCGACGCTTACAACTCGACTGGGAGCGTAATGACTCGGTTTTAATTCTATACGTTAGTACCATCGAAAAATTCGTCTTTAAGTGTTTTTCATAGTTTATAACACCTCTTTATCGACTTTAGGGCCCAGTTGTTCGAGGATCGATCAGCGGTAGCGCAAGGTTAAATTTTAATACTGGTTTCTTTCTTCCCTTGGTTCAAAAGCCCTTTCGGGATAATTTCCTCAATTCTTTTAAGAGCATCTAATCATTTAATTGTCGGCAGAAAGAATTATACTGAATTTTCTTTTAAGGCTTCCAGATCTGAAATCAGATTTCACACTAACCCTGGGTTAACTTGACTTTGAACAACCCAGGCCTGTTGTGTTCAGTAAGTTTTTGTCTTTAATGAACCATTGACGTACAAAACTGTTACTTATATATATTTTAACATTATTGTATGAAGGAAAGTGATCCATTTTGGGAGCCTGATGATGCAGAGGTGTTTATTGGCTCAGTCCAGGTGTATCTTCAAAGTTTAGCCTATCTGGTGAGATTTTATAATTGACCATGTCGTAATAAGCAGTAAATAGAAAGACAGACATGATAGCTTTACCGAAGGGCAGATGAACGTACGGACAGACCAGTACACGGATAAACTGACCCGACCAGAGGACCATACTGAGGAATATTGGCTCGAGGTCGTGGCAGTCGGAACCGAGCGCTACAAGGTTCGAACCAGAACGACCGAGGGCTAATGTTTCCCAGTATGGTTCAAGCAACGAGGTTAGTAAGCAGTTTATTATATGGTGCTCGAACTAATTTTTTTTTTTATTTGAATTTGCCGGCTTTCGCGAACAAAAAGTATATTTACATTTGGGGAAACTAAGCTGTAAGAGACAGTGACAGAGAATGTAAGTAATTTCCTGTTAGCATGAACACGCTCGCACTCTTATTGCGCCAGTGTTGCAGTTCAAGCCGCACATCCATACATTTGTCATTTCTTAGTTGTGGATAGAATTAAAGAATATACGGCGTATGACCGTTTCCGTGGAAACGGTCCATATGGCAAAATCCCGTCCAAGTAAGACCCAATCAGAACGCTCGGTTTTACTCAAGGCTACTTAGCCATATGATAAGTACATGCATACATAGAGGTACAGAAAAAAACGATTTCATAAAAAGTTTCCCTAAGATATAACGAATTATTTTACAACGCAGATTGAAGTGGAAGAGAGCCTTACGATAACAGACCCCAAAGGCAACGAAAAGGGGCAGCTTCAGGTTTGTAATGAACTTAGATCACTTTCAATATTTTCCTTTGGTTGTTTTCATATTGTAGTGTTAATGAATTTCAAAGAATGGTACTGAAACCATATGACGTCCTTCCGAAATACAAACAAAAGAAACGAAAGGGAAATATCGAAACATACAGACACGCAGAAGCGGAGAAATTATCTGAAATAGAATAGAAAAAATGTAGAATGTAGTAATAATAATTAAAATAATAATAATAATAATTTAGCAGTGAGTATTCCATGAGGGGTCTCTCTTGTCCACTGTTTCCAGGTCGAATTTAAAGTTGGAAATGTTGGTTTTTGCGAATGGAGGAAAACCGGAGAAAAATCCTTGGAGCCAACCCGAGAACCAACAACAAACTCGACCCTCATGTGATGCCACGTCCGGGCATCGAACTTAGGCCACAGTGGTGGGAGACAAGTGCGCTTGCCACAGCGCCATCCCCGCTACTCTTATCTTAAGAAAAATAATGTTCATCGGTTGCAAAGATCTATGCAACCTAAGCAAACGATATGAATTATCGAGTTCATGTCCCCTCGGGAAAAAAGTTCGCTCTCAGAAACATTGACGCTGAAACAAAACTCCTCCACTTACACTGAAGAAATTCTTGTTTTGGCGGCAGGTTGAAGCGTATCCTTGTGATGGGAACTTCTCAGAAGATTTAGACGATTTTGTGGAGGATCCCAAGGAGCTGGTATATTTTCAATTTCTTTATACCTTCTTTATTGTCTCTTCTTTTTTTTTTTTTCCCTTTTATATTTGTTTTCTTTCTTTTCTTTCGCATTTTGTTAATGTTTCTGTTCTATTTTTGCCAGTGTAGTTTTTGTGGCTACTGCCTCCTATAGGAGTTTCACGGTGCTACTTGATGTTTGTTTCAAAAATGCTCAAGAAGACAGTAAACATCTTACAATCATTTCAGGATTATGTTCAGTAGATCCAAAGATATCCTTTTCAGTTCTTGCCTTGACACTACAAAAAAAGATAAACATCTCAAATAATTTCACAGTGGCTTCTCCGACAACTAATTTAAAACAACACCTCGTTGCAGAGATATCGAAATAGGTATGACCCACACATCGTGGAAACTTTGAAGAAAAATTTTATTTATTTGAAGTGAGTATTTTACCATTTCAATCAGCGACTACTGCCCCCAATTTACAAAACGAGGAAGGTCCGAAGCACTATACCTTGAGTTTAACCGGGTGACCTTATTTGACGGAATGATTGAATGGTGAATTGGCGGAATTGCTGAATATCCTACAACGCGGAATGCCTTGTTGTATGAAATGAAAGTCTCACAAAAATGGAATTGCTACGTAAAAAATAGTAACTTATCATTAAAGGCAAAAGTTAAAAAAGCATAGTTTAATCATTATTGGAGCCTAGAGGATAGACTGGTAGAGGAACAGTGAGGTTCTTGAGTTAGCTCGTGACTTAGTATGACAATTTTTTTTATATTAATTTACAGATCTTTTCTTTTTTTTTCCCTTTAGATTGGAAGAGGTCTCTACTTCAAACTAAAAATTCCGCACGCAAGGGGCTTGCCAGCTATATTTGGGAAGGTAAAGATGCTCCTATTCGTAACATGATGAGGGGAATTAATGAGATTTCAATCACGCCATGACACTACCCACTGTCCATTTGCTGAATATTCCATGTGGCGTCCTCTTTTGCTTAAAAAAAAAAAACAAACAAACATAAATAATTCATTGGTAAATATTATTTGATCCGCAGGGAGAAACATGGTGTAAATACAAACTTTATCTTGATAAAGAGCACAGCCGCACAAAGACTGTCTCTGGAACAATGAATCCTTCTTACAGCCACGAGAGGAAATTTACCTTTAATCCTGTCACAAAACAGGTATGTTGTGCCGTTTTGTGCTTCTTTATAAGCTTTTCTCGTTATTAATATATTTTTTTGTTTTTTGCCTTTCCCAGCCCAGTATAAAGAGAACACTTTCAAAATTCAATTTGTCGTTTTTTTGTCTCGGGACAGTTTCAAAAGAAGCTGACGAGCTGAGAGGGTCTCAATGAGATGACCGTTTGCCGTTTGATGGCTTAAATTTTAACTGTTAGCCGTAAAAGCCATCACTCCATACAGACCCTCAGATTAGATCACGTTCACCCATTTTGCCGCTGGTTTTAAGCAGTGACACCGTGGTTTGGCAAACCACAATTAATCCCAGGCCCGGACTTTCCGAGCGATTTTCCGTGGAAGAAAATCTCACTCCCTTGTATTATCACTTGTAGTTCGTGGACTATCTGCTGAACACTCCTCTCATGGTTGAGGTTTGGGGAAAGCAGAGTGGAAGAAAGATCAGCACTGTCCCAAACAGGAAAGTGTCAGTAGGACAGAAAAATAGCGGAGTACAGAACGGCGAGGTTATGGTGAGAATACTGCAGAGATCTCCAGTATTTTTTTCTCTTTTCTTTTTGGTTCTTTCGTTATTCTTTCCTTCGTTCATTTGTTACTTTCAAACCATTCATTCCGTTCCATTCTGTCAGGCATCAAGTTAATGTCAAGTTGAATCGCAATTTATGGCATCCTTAATCATGCGCACGCAAAAAAAGGAAGGAAAAAAACGAAAAAGGGACCACAATGATTAGCTACTCAAACTCCGAATGTCCTTTTTTTATTAAATTTTTAATACGAATATTGCATTTCTAGTGTTCTGATTGGTTCACTCAACTCTGGCTATCAGCTCAAATTTCGAGCCATCTTATATGGAAATGCATTGCGGAGCTAAAAAAGCTCCAAAAATCCAAACGTTTAGGATTTAATAAAATTTGATAAAACAAGTATTCACCTCCGAGCAACTCGTGCGAGATTTAAGCCCGAAAATACTGTAATCGTGGCAGGCATTAATGAGTTAAAATCATCTTTTTGTGCTATGTTATCTCACTGTTTAGGTATACATGCTACCTCCACTTCAACGAACAGTTGTTAACTATCTACTCTTTTCATTCATTCCATTTATCCACTCATCCATTTACTTATTCATCTTTTTTTTCTTTCTGTGTGTTTCTTTCATTCATTCAATTGTGGTCTATCAATTTTAGTCACTGGAATTTTGATGGTTTCTATTCTTGCTTACATTTTTCAGCCGAAGGAAGAAGCCCAGAATATGAAACTAGAGTTGCATAAGTCGATGAAAAGAAACGAAAGATCTGAAAAGAAAATCGTAAGTAACCAAAACAGTTGTTCTTGGATGTGTATATTTATGTCTGGCCCATGAAACAAAGGGCGATCATTATGTACATGAGTTGTTTTCACGCCTGGACCCCAAAGAGTGACAAGCATGTAATTTCTCCTTACAATGTTACCCCTAAATCATACTTTGAGGTTACGAGAATAAAGGGAATGGTCACCAGTTAAAGAAGTTAAATGTTAATTGTTTTGGTTTGACAAAGCAAACCGACGGTGGGCCATTTCTTTAATTTGGCGCTTCCCGCTATGTTTCCATAACAATTTCCGTGTTGCCACTATAACCTCCATTGCACTCTCTAACCTATTTATGCATTCGACACTGGCCAATCCGAAACGCCATATTTTGTTGAGTATCTAATAAAGAAAGTTACTGCATTTGATTGCGATCTACGTAGTCCTGTGAAGTATCACAGTGCCCTTAGAGTTGGATTTGAGTTCGTTATTTAGTACTGAGTATGCAAAAAAGAACCTGGCGAAATCTTAAATTGAAGCGTTCGATGTTTTTGTACTATCCGCTCTGATAGTATGGTATGTTTTTACATTATAATCAGTTTTCTATGAGTTTCCCTATTTAGAGATCGCAATACATTTGTGACAATAAAAGATTCATTTCAGTTCGCAGATTATGAAAGAAAAGCGACGAAAAGTGGTTGTTTCAGTATGCGAATAAAAATCTTAAGTGTCTTTACTTATATTTGTTTTGATTTGTTTGTTAATTATCGACCAGCCACCTTTAATTTTTTTTCCATTTTCTCTTACCACAGAAAAAGATGCGCGAATTAATAGAGGATGCTAAGAAGAAAGGTGTCTCTACACTCGAGGTATGAATTTAACACCGGGTTCGATTCATGTTTGATCGGGAATATTCCACAAACTAAATTAGAAGTTGCATAAGGCTGCTTCATAATTTTGTTTCCTTCGGCATCATATCGTGACCATTATGTTTGCTGACATCAGCAGTGAAGTACTGCCTACTAAGATACTTACGTGGCGAACTCAATTTGCAACAAAGAATACAAATCAACCCATTCGCATAGGACGTCAAAATTCTTTTTTAGACGGTTTTGAGCGGTAGCCTCTAAACTTCCCATTCACAAACTAATAGCCTTCGTTGGCAAACGCAAGGCTTCGTGGGAAACAATAAGTAGTCACATGGATGATTTCGACATATGTAAGTCTATCATTTTCGTACTCGTTGCGATACCCTTGCCAAAATGGGTTAGAAGTTTTCCTAAAAGCAATTAGTCACAAAGATTTGTAATTTTGTCCCCGCCTCTCTTCGTACCCTTATTTGAGTGGGCAAAAGTTCATCCATTACATGAATGAGATTTGTTTATTTTGACGCCAGGTCGCTGTGCTTGAGGAGATTTTGAACGGTGGCGAGGGTAACAAGTTTAAAGCAACCGCCGACATCGTTCTAAAAGCGCAGAAATCAATGGACAGTGATGGAAAGATCACAAGTTCGACTTGTTCGATCCAGTGAAAAATTAAGTGAGATCAAAATTTATTAGCAACTATTTATGACCGTGTTTGTAGACTCTAGTGCACTTGCAGTTTTGATTTTTTTTCTTTCGTACGTTTTTAAATACAATTTTGTTAAACAATCCACCATAGTGGAAACGAAAAGTGCATTCAGCACTCTCCAGTTTACTAGCATTACTGTATTACTGTATAGCAGGTAATCAGTATCATATTTACAGCTAGTGATGGACTTACTGTGATGTAATGCTTTAGCCTTTTTTAATAGTTAAAACGAACTTATCAGTCAAGACGTGGAAATAAGCCAAAAAGGAGCGTGAATGTTTAAGAATTGAACATGCATGCGCCTTTTTCCTATTCTTCGTTTGTATATAGAATTGTCGTTTCCATTTTCATTCGTCATTTACCCATTTTCGTCTCATTATTTGTCATTATTGTCTGCAGTTCAGCATTCAGTATCTTTTGTAGAATTTCGACTTAAATTTATTCACTATTTTAAAGTATTTGACATTTTTTTTTCTTTAAAAAGAAAGCTACGCTAAGTTAAAAAGCTAAAGATAGTGATATGTAATCGCCACATAGTTTGTGTCTAGTGCTCAGTCCATTACGTGCAGGTTCGTGTAGTGTACTGCTGTTTATGATAGCACTTGGATCAAGGCAATTCATCAAAACAGTTTCAGAAGTAAACTACGAAATCCACTCGACGAATATAGCTAAATATGAAGTGTGCCAAAGCCAAATTATACTCTCAGATATTCGTAAAATCATTTTTTCTTTCCTTGTTAATTCTCAGCTGTGTTCCCCTTATATCTTTCCTTCCACTAGATTGCAGAGAGCATTACCACACCGCACACACCACAGAGTGAAAATTAAATGCTTCCCCCTTCTCCTTGTTGCATGTTAATTCTGTTTCTACAAATTGTAAATTTGCAAAAGTAAAGGAGATGTGCAATTTGTGGTGTCCCAAAACTCTCTCGTAAATGCACGCCATACAAGTACGTATAAGCATATGATTATGGTATATACTTGATGCGAGGTTCGCGTTGAAGGTTTGTCATCGAAATAAAGTATTGATGACAAATTCGCAATTGCAGTGTTTTGCGGAGGTTGTTGCCCTGAGAGATTTTCTGACCCAACCCTCTTAAACCCAAGATCTGATTGTAAATTCTCCCCTCTGGCCGTTACACATTTCCTTATATTTTAGTTACGAGAATTTGATGCCAGAGTAAGTTTGATTCTCATTAACTGATGGCTGAATAATCTGAGGATATTATGGGGGTTAAAATCACTTATTAATCACTTCTGGGAGTTCATGAGTTAAATTTTTAGTGAAAGAAACAAATAGATGTTTTTAAAGAAGGCAATCATTGGATAAAACAACGCATTGAGCATTCTTGGCCGTAGTGCAAGATTGGTGGAAATATGATCTTCATCAGCGACCTTCGTGTATTTCAGTAAATAAATCTAAAACGGAGTCAAATTTTTAAATTTAATTAGCTTAGATAAAGAGAGTTTTCCAAACCAAAAACATTTCTTTTTTTTTGGTTCGGAATGCTTTCTCCTTTGGTAATTATTGCTTCTTAACGAAAGAAAATTATACAAGGTGTGTGGCTAAAACAGACGAACAATCATGTACTTAAGTAAATAAATCTCCTTGAACAGAATTAAATTCCTATATTTAATCACCTTAGAAGTAGAGAGCTTTCTGAACCAGAAACATTCTTTTTTGGTTCGGCATGCTTTCTCTTTCTCTGGTAATTATTGCTTCTCGACGAAAGCAACTAGGACAAGGTGTATGGCTAAAACAGACGAAAAATTATGTTCAGTTCACAATATTTAATGTCATACACGTAGCGATACTTGTTAATCACTTCTGGGAGTTCATGAGTTAAATTTTAGTGGAAGAAACAGAAATGAATGTTTTTAGAGAAGGCAGTCATTGGATAAAACAACGCGTCAAGCATTCGTGGCAGTGGTACAAGATTGGTGAAAATATGATCATCAACGACCTTCGTGTATTTCAGTAAATGAATCAACTGGAACGGAATTAAATTTCTAAATTTAATTACCTTAGAGGAAGAGAGCTTTCCAATCCGGAACCATTTTTGTGGTTCGGAAATCTCTCTTCTTCTTTGGTAATTATCGCTTGTCAATAAAAGAAACTAAGACAAGGTGTGTGACTAAAAGATGAACAATTATGTAATTCAGTAAATACATTTCCAAAAACGGAATTAAATTCCAATGTTTAATTACCTTAGAAGAAGAGAGCTTTCCAAACCAGAAACATTTCTTTCTAGTTCGGAAAACTCTCTCCTTCTTTGGTAATTATTGCTTCTCAACGAAAGTAACTAAGACAAGGTGTGTGGCTACAACAGATGAACAATCATTTGCTTCAGTAAATAAATCTTCTAGAATGGAATTGTATTTCTAAATTTAATTACCTTAGAGGAAGAGAGCTTTCCAAACCAGAAACATTTTTTGTGGTTCGGAATGCTTTCTCCTTCTTTGGTAATTATTGCTACTCAACGAAATAAAATTAGACAAGGTGTGTGGCTAAAACAGATGAACAATCATGTACTTCAGAAAATAAATCTCTCAGAACAAAATTAAATTTCTAAATTTAATTATCTTTGAAGAAGAGAGCTTTTCTAAACCAGAAACATTTTTTTTTGGTTCGGAATGCTTTCTCCTTCTTTGGTAATTATTGCTTCTCAACGAAAGAAACTAAAACAAGGTGTGTGGCTAAAACAGATGAACAATTATGTACAATTCACATTATTTAATGTCATACATGACATTACGATACTTGTTGATGACTTCTGGGAGTTCATGGAACAGAAATGGAGGTTTTTAGAGAAAGCAGTCATTGAAGAAAACAATGCGTCAAGCATTCGTGGCAGTGGCGCAAGATGAAAATTTGATCTTTATCAGCGACCTTCATGTATTTCAGTAAATGAATCAACTAGAATGAAAATTTGATCTTTATCAGCGACCTCCATGTATTTCAGTAAATGAATCAACTAGAATGTACTTAAATTTCTATATTTAATTACCTTAGAAGAAGAGAGCTTTCCAATCCGGAACCATTTTTGTAGTTCGGAAATCTGTCTTCTTCTTTGGTAATTATTGCCTCTCAACGAAAGAAACTAAGGCAAGGTGTGTGGCTAAAACAGTTAAACAATTATGAACTTTAGTAAATAAATCTTCTAGAAGGAATTTAAATTTCTAAATTTAATTACCTTAGAAGAAGAGAGCTTTCCAAACCAGAAACGTTTTTTTGTTGTTCGGAATGCTTTCTCCTTCTTTGGTAATTATCGCTTCTCAACGAAAGAAACTAAGGGAAAGTGTGAGGCTAAACAGATGAACAATTATGTTCAAATTACATTATTTAATGTCATACATGTAGCGATATTTGTTAATAACTTCTGGGAGTTCGTGGGTTAAATTTTCGTGAAAGACACAGAAATGGATGTTTTTAGAGAAGGCAGTCATTGGATAAAACAGCGTGTCAAGCATTCGTGGCAGTGGTGCAAGATTGGTGGAAATATGATCTTCATCAGCGACCTTCATGTATTTCAGTAAATGAATCATCTAGAACGGAATTAAATTTCTCTATTTAAATACCTTAGAAGAAGAGATCTTTCCAATCCGAAACCATTGTTGTGGTTCGGAAATCTCTCTTCTTCTTTGGTAATTATTGCTTCTCAACGAAAGTAACTAAGACAAGGTGTGTGGCTAAAACAGATAAACAATCATGAACTTTAGTAAATAAATCTTCTAGAAGGAATTTAAATTTCTAAATTTAATTACCTTAGAAGAAGAGAGATTTCCAAACCAGAAACGTTTTTTTGTTGTTCGGAATGCTTTCTCCTTCTTTGGTAATTATTGCTTCTCAACGAAAGAAACTAAGACAAAATATGAGAGCTTTTCAATTCAGAACCATTTTTGTGGTTCAGAAATCTCTCTTCTTCTTTGGTAATTATTGCTTCTCAACGAAAGAAAATTAGACAAAGTGTGTGGCTAAAACAGATAAACAGTTATGTACTTCAGTAGATAAATCTCCTTGAACGGAATTAAATTCCTGTATTTAATTGCCCTAGAAGAAGAGAGCTTTCCAAACCAGAAACAGTTCTTTATAGTTCGGAAAACTCTCTCCTTCTTTGGTAATTTTGCTTCTCAAACGAAGGAAACTAAGAGAAGGTGTGTGGCCAAAACAGATAAACAATCATGTACTTCAGTAAATAAATCTCCTAGAACGAAATTAAATTTCTATATTTAATTAACTTAGAAGAAGAGAGCTCTCCAAACCAGAAACACGAACGTGTTTGTGATACAAATTGGTCCAAATGCGATCGATTGAAAAGCTAAAAATGGCTTAGTACACACCTGTTGTCGCTCGGATGCTCCACGACTTTTATCAATGTCTTTTTTAAAAAAATAAGGGCACAATGAGAATCAAACGTTGCCACACATCAACCCGTTAAGTGCACCGAACACATGACCAACTGGTCTGTCTACAGATCTTTTTTCCTCTTTGATCATGCTGTAATTTCCGGAGCGCTCCCGAAATAAGATGTACAGTGATTTAACGAACACAAAAGCAAGGCATTGCAGCCCGAGAGCGAAGCTCGAGGAAAACTAAGAGCTTTGAGGAACAGATAATGTCCAAGGACAAATATAGGAGCGTACTTTCGGGTAAAATGGAGGCTATTTTGTTAGTTTCCGGTTCCGCTCTTAAGTAGCTGTAGTTTGATTGCACCTTTAGGTATATCAAGTATTCATTGCTTCATAATGGCACCGAAACGACTAATTATTGCTTTATTTTCTGTCGATTTAACTACTGCGTTTAAAGCCTTTACTTATAGGTGAGTCAAAAGAATAAAGGAAATGATCACCAACTTAAGACGCTGGTGATTGTTAAATAAGTTCTTCTTGTCAGCACCTAAGGCAATGTATAGAAAAGAGTTTGGGGAATACAGATACTGATGTTTGGGAGTAAAAGAGTCAACTAGAAAGGTCATTTTAGTTTTCTAAAACAACATTCGAGAGAAACACGTCTGATTTATTTCGGGACATGATCAACATGTCACGGCTTTGTTTCACAGGAACGGAAAATGAACTTACATCGGTTTTGATACCCGTTCAACCAGTTCCTGTTAAGTGAAGTAATTTTGAGCTCGTTTCGGAAGTATGAGCTATAGAACTGACGGCAGAGAGAGTTTTACTTAAAGCTAGAAACTGAATTATGTTCAAGGTCGAGGTTTTCTTGCTTCTTTGCCATAGCGCTTTCTCGATAAATTTGGGCGAGACCCCAGCCAGGTTAAAAAAAACTAAATCTTTTAATTATCACAGCTCCCTCTTTTTGTTGAATTCCAAGCTTGGATGTGTCAGTTTGGTCTCGGCTGGGTTAGGTGAACCAGTTAAGGCTGTGCAACACTAAGGAACCGGTATTAGTTGCTTTGAGAAACGATATTTGTTACTAGAATTCATTATGAAAATACGATTTCGTAAAATATGACGGCGAGAAAATTTGAGATACTCGGCTTCTCGAATTTTTCTAACACTTTTATTGAGTTGTTTGATAACCACATTTATTGCTTGCTTCCAACAAGTAACAACATTGATAGTAAAAGAAGGGAAAATTGGGAAACACAGGACTTCCAACAGGTGTGCTGATTTAAACTTATTTACCAGAAATCAGTTTTTGAAATTGAAAATTGGAAGTTTAAAAGATGTAAAGCACGCCATTACTTCTATTTATTATTAAAAGGCGGAAATCATACACGCCTATAATAGCATCAGTCAGCAGTAGAAATCACGTTCTTACTTAACAACTCGATCGCACTTGACCCTGACAGCATTTGTGGAATCTTCTGTCAAAGCTGCGAGGACCACAGCAAGCAAAGGTTACACCAGACTTTGCTTGGACTTCACCACTACAGCACATTTTGAATCTTTTGTCGAAGGTTTTTGAGCCACAGCAAGCAGAGTTTGCACTCGATTTACCGACTATTTTACCGGCACAGCACATTTGGCTTCGTTTGTTGTATGACTGCAGACCACAGCAGGCTGAGGTAATACCAGATTTACCCACTATTTTACGGCCACAGCACATTCGGACTCTTTTGTTGTAGGTTTGAGATCCACAACAGGCCAGCGGGGCTAGAGCCGATGTACCAACTACTTTACCATCACAACACAATTGTGTTCTTGAGTTGTAGGATTTAGAAGCACAGCAGGCTGAGGTAAAACCAGATTTACCGACTATTTTACCACCACAGCATATTCGGAATCTTTTGTCGTAGGTTTGAGATCCACAACAGGCCAGTGGGGCTGGAACTGATCTACTAACTACTTTACCATTACAACACAATTGTCTTCCTGTGTCGTAGGATTTGGAACCACAGCAGGCGGCTGAGGTTAAGCCAGATTTACCGACTATTTTACCGGCACAGCACATTTTGCTTCGCGTGTTGTATGACTGTAGACCACAGCAGGCTGAGATAAAACCAGATTTACCGACTATTTTATTGCCACAGCACATTCGGAATCTTTTGTCGTAGGTTTGAGATCCACAACAAGCCAAGGCTGGAACCGATCTACCAACTACTTTACCATCACAACACAATTGTGTTCTTGAGTTGTAGGATTTGGAAGCACAGCAGGCTGAGGTAAAGCCAGATTTACCGACTACTTTACCGGCGCAGCACATTCGGACTCTTTTGTCGTAGGGTTGGGAACTGCAACAGGCTGAGCCTGATTTCCTGACAATTTTATCACCGCAACACATGCCATACCTTGTGTGGTAAGCTTTGGCTCCACAGCACGAGGAAGTCAAACCCGAAATTCGTATTACTCGATCAGTGCAGCAAATGGAAGATGTGGGATTGTACGATACTTCACCACAACTTCGATGTGTCATACGCCGTGCTCGTACTCCTACGGTGTTGTAATCTATTAAAAAAAAAAAGACGGTTAACACAGTCCGTAGAATGTGTGGAGACTATGATTTCTGTGTGTAAACTATGCAATTCAATCCAAACCCAATCAAGATTTTATTGATCAGTTACAGAGGAGAAACCTTATAAATTTTTTTATTAAACCTTTAACTCCCATGAGTGACCAAGACAGAATTTCTCCTTACAATATCAGTGCAATATCAATCAGATAAGTGAAGAAAAATATCAATTGGGGGATTATAAGTTGATCCAATACCAATTTCTCTAAATTAACAACACAAGAACTGTATGGTAGACAGTAAGGAGAATTACTAATGAGATCTTGGGAGTTAAAGGGTTACATGCACCCAGGATCATTAGCAATTTTTGCGACAACGTGCTTTCACCCGATCAGGTTATTAAGGTTTAAATATTTTTGGCCCAGTTCAGAGGTCATGCATCCACTGTGTCGAATTCAATTCAAAAACAAAAGCGCAGCAGAGCACAGCGTCTCAATAATACCTTTTAATTAAGTTCGGAAAGCCGTACTACACGAGACTACGACTCTGGCGCGACAGCGATTCAAATGTTGCGCCTCCGCCGAGCCAAACAAAACTCATAAATTCTGCTAATGTATTTGGCGGGATTGCGTTCTCGCGGGAAGTGTCAAACTCAAATCAGAAATTAATTTCGACAAAAGCACATACAGCAAAAGCTCAGCATCTGAATAGAACTTTTCAATCAAGTTCAAGCATTTAATTTCGACAAGCTCCTTCGCGCTATACGACTCTAGCGCTACAGCGACACGCTACTTCGTACTGAGCCCAAGAAAATCAATACATTATGCAAACGTATTTTGGCGGGACTGCGTTCTTACGGGTAGTTACAACAATGAATTGTTATTAGTATGCTGAGGCGAAACATTAGAATTTGCAGTGCTACGGTGATGACCATTTATTTGATGCAGTTATCTCTGGTCGGTGTATAAAATCTTGAAACGTGTTATCACATTGATCTTAAATTGCGCGGTGTATGTTGTTTACGCAGATTAAAGGGAACATAAATTATTTGTGTTGTTGTGGTTTCTTGCTTAAAGGTCCCTCGTACATTCTATTGATGACTGTTGTCGTCTTCATCAGAACTACCTAATTTTACTTGTGCTGGCCATAAAAAAATTCCATAATGTGCCAAAGAGGTTGCAAATTTGCCAACAAAACATGCGTAGGCAGGAACTCCTTGATACATAACATGCAAGTAAGTAGTATGGCTTTGTGTTCAGTCAGGTGTGTATAACATGCATACATGTAAAACTTATTGCCGCGTTGATGTTTCGCTAACTTTTCTTGCGTTGGTACGGTGCTCTTTGCTTCTTAATGTCCCCTTCCTTTTGGAGGGTAATTCAGCAGAGCTTTGCTTTCTTCAACCATCCTTAAAGTTTCCTCTTGAACTAACCTTTCAAAATATTTCCGGCGTTAAGCCAAGACGAATTTCACATGGAAAAACGGTTGTTAATCTCACTCTAGCGATTGAGTATGAGGAGTACTAGTTAGCGGGTAAACTTGGTAAGTAATTAAACCACTAGGTTAATAAATTACTACCAGAATTTACCTTTGCTAACCTTCTCGTAAGTCTGTTGGTCCTCAGTTGCTTTGCTGCTGTCTGCTTTGAAGTCGCAGTTACTTTGTCAGCCTTGAATTTCAGAAGCTCCCCTTGAATTTCTCTTTCTTCAGCTGGGGTCTCGCCCAACTCCAACGAGAGAGCATTTTCGGAAAGAAGGAGGAATACCACGAACTTGAACATCGTGTAGTTCTTAGCCTTAAAGCTCACTCTGCCGTCAGCTCTTCACCTAAAGATAACTCGTTCCCTCCTTTTATACGAACAGGAGTAGATCGGAACCACCCAAAATCACAAGGACACTTAGCGCATCACGTTCTTATTTACATTTGGGTGTCACTGTAGCGAAGTACTTATTCCATCGGAAATAAAAGCCGCCCATTTGTAGTGGACGCCCACTGGTAGGGTGTAATACTGCCTTCTTGCCTGAGGCTATCACTTGCGTGTCACAAGCTGATGTATAGTTCATGAGCGACGATGCAGAATTAAAATATCAAGAAATTTAACAACCACCGAGGTCATTCATGGTGAAATCTTACATATTTCAATGGTCTACGTTTTAAGCTCATTATACCTCGAGCAAAAAACGCACGTAGAGAGAGGCTAAAAATACATCAATCATTTCCGATTAGTCACGAACTTTTTTGCGTCGCTTCGGCCAAAGTCCCTAGGCGTTACAAAGAACCAAAGAACTATTGTTTGATACCTAATGTGAGAAGTTAGGCCGGAACAATAGACCATTTCTTACATCAGACATGGTTTGATGCTACTCTGGTTTACAGATTTAATGAATGTAACCGAAGAAGTTACAATTAATAGACCCAACGTTTCGACATTTCTGTCTAGTGCATTCATCAGGGGTGATCTAAACGCTGCAACAAGAGGTCCTTTTATATGGTCACTAATTAGCTGCCTGTTTTCTGACGAGGTGTAAATAGGCGTCAGGAAGTAGGCCGCCATCGTCACGATTTAAAGGAGCGTGGGCGGAGTAATATGCCAAGCTTCCAAACAAAGGCGCTGGCGGTAACGCCGATTAGTGGTGATAATTTTAGAATTATCCCGCCCAATTGTATGGTTAGTTAGGCATGTGTGCTCCGATAAAGCTGAATTTTTCTTTTTGCAAAAGAAAACCGCTTTTTGACCATTTCTTGATAGGTATCTAGATCACACTTTGATTTCTTTGAATGGGCAACTCGCTGCTAACATGTACTCTTTGATTTCTAATGATCTATTATTTTGTGACCAAAGGGGAGGGTGGTGGGATGGGAAGGGGGGTCGTAAGGATATTACAGAGTCTTGAGGGGGTGATCAGGTCAATTTATCATAGAAGAACCAAAGTACTCCTACCCCCACCCCCTCCCCCAGGTGATGAATAATGACCAGCCTCCACTTAGTTATTTATTCATATGTTTTTGTTATTCTTTTATTCTATTTATTTATTTATTCATTTTTTTTTAATTACTTTTTTTTTTCACTAAGGGAGAGTACCAGAAGGAATTATTTTACCTCACATATCTGGGGTCAGTTCCAATCAACCTTTGCCATGCATTCATTTGGATGAGGTTCGGTATCCTGCTCTATCGTGAAGTGAGAAAGAAGTCTGAGAGAAGGGTAAGTCACATGTGAGGAACACGGCACACAGCAGTTTAACATCGGGCATGCGCGAGGTGATCAATTTTGGTTAGCCGTGCGTCAATTTCCGCCTTAAAGGATAGCATAAGAAACCACCACTCTCTCGCAAAATAAGCGAAAGAAAATTGAAACGTTCCTGGAGATCTGCATAAGGAAACAAGATACGTAACGATGATGTATATCGCTGAGTTGAAACGATATATCGCCCGAGGCAAAACTTGTTTGAATGGTTCAGTACTCCATCGCGATTGTCTTAACAACAGCTTCTATTTTACGGAGCCATACGACAAGTCCAAGTAAAAAACAACCAAACATCCTGAAACGCGGGAAAATGTAGGCGACCAAGTCGTGATTGGTTTTAGTTTTGAATCTGATTGGTTGAAAGAGTGGTGCGAGTTTTCTGGACCAATAACAGAACGAAGTAAAGCATTAACAAAGCGATAATGGTTACTTTCGACATTTACAAGAAAAGTGTTTCTATGGCACGATATTTCGTCGATAATTCTCTATTTTCGTGATAATCTTCTCACAGTTTTGAACGCTGGCTAGAAAAACCTGTCTATTGATGGAGATTGGGGAGGAGTTACTGCTTGCTCCCTCTCTGTACTTCATAACTTGTCTGGAACCATCCCCAGATAAGGGTAACTGTTGTTAAAGTTTGCGTGGAGGCTTTTACTGCTGATAAAATATCATTAACTTTTCTTTTCTAGGGTGGCGACGAAATCCGTGGTACGCGTTTGGCCAGAGAAACGGAGATCGCTCACATGACGAAACTCCTGTATCCAGGATCAATTTCGTGAGCGGTTAAAATTGATAATCTAGCAGGGTTGGATACCAAACTCTGACAATATACTGCATATAAATTTTATGCAGATAAATTGTTGTAAAATGGGTTTTTTCCCACAGTAGGATTATTCGCATGAGATCTCTATCGCCTGACAGCTTATGAGGGAAAAGCCTGGATCGAAAATCAAGCACAGATTTCTCAGGAAAATAACAGTAAACGATAACGAGTAACGATACCCCAGACGACTTACAGCAGGCTTGTAGCATCCTGTATTTTGTAAATTCTCTTGTATTTTGAATGTACAGTTGAGCCCCGATAACTCGAAGCAGAACTGATGTCCCTTGGATTTGCCTCATATATTAAATGTAATTTTAACCCCGTCTCTCAGTAGAAATCAGCCACAAGACACGTTTCTTTATTTTACAATCTGTACATAGGCTATTCACGTTACGCACTGTATATCACTAATTAGTACTGAATATCAATCTCGGATTGAGCTCTTTAAGATTGAAACTATAAAATGAGAGCTAACCAAATATGTCACTGTTGACGAGTTGACTAATAGTGTTGGCGAGCTGACATGTCGGAGAAGTGACCTGGTACAGAATACATCTATCAGCGTTGTGATAGAGAGTGACACTATACGGTTGTAAACAAAGAGGACAAAAACACCAGCCTGTCTTGTTGCTAAGTTTTCTACGATTTTTTGGTTAATTCTATACCAATAAGATTTGTCGCATGGGATTTTCTCTGCGTTTTGATTGACTCAGACACCGCACTCATAACTGCTGCGCGTTATGGAATAACTTAGATACTACACCCTGATTGGTTAAAACCCTACCGTTTATTGTACTGGTTAAGCCATCAGCTTTGTTCTAAGCTATACTGTAAAAGTAATAGACCGCAATTTTGAAAGGTTTACCAGCGTGAAAACCCACCTGGGATGTTAAAAGGACTCGGGAAAAATTTGTTAATAAAGAGCCTGGGGCGAGTGATTCACAAACTTTTGTCGTGTTCTCCCAACAACTCAAGTAGGTTACTATGCCGGCACACCGATAGAAAGTTCGGTCTGTTGCTCAAATAGAAATCTTGCACTCTTATTGTTAAATAGTGAAGGATTAGCGAGACCAGTCAGACTGCAGAACTTTTGACTAAACGCTTTTAGATTTTTACTTGAATCTTTTAATTTAACCATTGCTCTTTGTGATTGGTCTGGGAAGCGCTCCAATGGATTCCTTTGGCCCACGTGTAAGGCTGTCATGTTCGGTTGAAAAGAACGTGTACGTAAAGGAAAGAGTGACCATTGATACATACATTGGTTATGAATGAATCAAGTGACATATTTCTTTCGTTTTTGCATAAGCTCATTCAGATGATCATGATTTTCTAATTACTCCAGACCGGTGTTATACTTTCCTTTTGTGTTGCTTCAAACAGGGGGAATATGGTTGGATTAAATTGGTTTTCAAGGCGGCTTCGTCGCTTCTACAAACCAAGGAAAGGTAAAGATATTTTGTTCGCGCCATGTCTTTGAGCTATGAACAGGAACCATTTGAATAAGGAGATGATTTAAATGACACCCAGTCG